GCTTACTGAGTAAAAACTCCCCGTTTCTTTTCCTGCAATCGTCCCATGAAAAGTAAAAAAAGGAGAGGGATAGTAATGAAAAAAAAACATGTTTTCATTTTCTGGAACTTTTAAAGTCCATCATCATCATCATCATCATCAGCCTATAAGTGCCCACTGCTGAGTAAAGGCCTCTTCTCACACTGAGAAGGTTAGAGCATTAATCACCGCGCTTGCTCAATGTGGGTTGGCGATTTCAAACGAATAATTAGAAATTATAAGTCCAGGTTTCCTCACGGTGTTTGCCTTCACCGTATGTCAGTGGTGTGAAAGTACTTATAACTTGGAAAATGTCACATTGGTACTTGCCAGGTTTCGAACTCACATCCTCATGCATGAGAAGCGGACTCCTTAACCTCCGGGCCACCACGACATATAAAGTCTATACAATGTACAAAAGCAAGTACCATATTTCAGATGGTCTTTGCAAACATCAGCGACATTTTCTTGTAAAAATTTTGTGTGATCCTAAAATTAGGATCTTGACTATATAATCACGCTGATTTACTAATTATACATAATAAAAACAAATACAGGTTTTTCTATGCTTCTATTGTTAGGCACGTTTGTATAGTATTAGTAAAGCTTTGTTTCCTAGCCTACAGACACTTCCATCTGTATCGATTTTCAACCAGCCAGCCTCTCAACGTCCTTGGAGCTTACAACCTAGACACAAGGGCAGGCTAATAATTCATCCGAGTTAATGTGTTTTCTAAGATTATGTAGATACTATTGATATATGTTAAAAGAAATCACGACTTTTTAAATTACAAATTTGGAATCTCTAATCTTGAGCAAGCGTGGTGATTGATGCTCGAACCTTCTCCGTATGAGAAGTGGCTTTTGTTCAGCAGTGGTCACTTACAAGCTGATGATGTGAATCCTCGCGACAACGCTGTGTGTAATCTACAAATGGCGAAACAACCATTTGTTGAGTCTAAGTTTGTCATTGAATTTGTATATTTGTAAACGTTCCTTCGGAACAGGTGAAAATCAAAAAAATGAGCAACCATTTTGTTTGTATCCGGCATACTGTTTGATGACTTTGTTGATGAATAAGAATCGTAGCTGAAAATTTGATACTATGTCATTGTATTTATTTTATTTAGTTATTTGCATACTGTAATGTTTGTTGTTTGTAACATTAGCGCACTCTCGCCCTATCAAAGGGTAGATATACTTCTATACTAATATTATAAAGAGGTAAAATTTTTAGGTTTGTATGTAGGGGGTAATCTTTGGGACCGCTGGTCGGATTGCCAAAATTCTTTCACTGATAGATAGCTACAATGTTCCTCAGTGCTATAGGCTATAAAACATCACGCTACGATTAAATGGAGCCGAGCAGCGGGTGAAACCGCGCGAGAGTAGCTAGTTATGAATAAGTTACTAATTAATTACTCAAACCCAACACTCTTCAAAAAAGTTATTGTTAAATTTGGTTTTGTTACTAGCTTCCTATCCGAAAATTTGGCCTCTGGTAAACTTACTCATAGAACCACATCACTTAATTTTGTGAGGTGAAAATCATCCAATGACTTCTCCTGCCCAGGGTGGAGCGGGAGTTTCAAACTCTTACTTACTGAAAACCCCCTTTCCTTCTCCTACTCTGGACCAAGGCTGCGGTGACTTATTGCGCTAGTCCCACAACCCCCGCTGCACATCGGCCCTGTAGGGCACCATATATGGTGGTATATTGGCTGTTTGAGGCGCAACGCTTCGTACAATCGGGTCTGCGGCGAGCTACCTTTACTCGCCGTCTGCAGACCAGCTGTGAGGCCGTGGTATCACTCCTGTCGAGCCGGCCTATTTGTGCCGAAGCATGGTTCTCCCACAATTTATATTGATTTTTTTATGTAATAGGTCGGCAAACGAGCAGACGTATTACCTGATGGTAAGCAATCAGCGTTGCCTATGTACACTCGCAACAACAGAGGAGTTACGGTGCGTTGCCGACTTTTAGTAATTGGGGATTTGGAGATTTAGGGAATGGGGGAGGGATCGGGGGAGGGGAAGGATTGGGCCTCTGGTAAAAATATTATAAGCTATTTTTTAAAAAAAAATAAGAATCTAACAATAAGGGCGAAAAAAGTCATTTGAGTCAAAGTCAAAAATCATTTATTCCAATTAGACCTTTACAGGCCCTTTTCAATTATTATAATAGTTTCGGTCTGTCTCAGTCTGTCAGTCAGTCTGTCTTCACGATTTTATCCCCCCTACAAAAAGCAGAGTCTAGTGCATTTATTTCAATTTCCCGTATCTTCGTTGTAAGTAGGTTAGACTATTATCTAAATACCCTATCTCTTGAAGCGCTTACGCATATAAATAAAAAACATTAACTTTTTTCTGTCGTTTTAAAAACGGACTATTTACGTTACCGGCAGCTGTTCGGTTCTAATTTAGTTGAAGAAAGTGTTACGTAAGAAAATAAGGTATTACGCTGACAGTGGAGAGGGACAGAGATGTCAATCGTAACACATAAACACGGGCTTCATATAAATACGCAAAACTACATAATATAATGAGTGAAAAAGTATAGGTACAAAACAACCACAGCGTTGTGTTTCGCCGTGTGAGTGAGGTTACCGGAGCCCCAATCCTAACCCTCCCCCGATCCCTCCCAATACCTAAATCTCCAAAACCCTAATACCTAAAAGGTCGGCAACGGGAACTCCTCCGTTGCGGGTGTCCATGGGCGGCGCTGATTGCTTACTATCAGGTAATACGTCGGCTCGTTTGCCGACCTATTACATAAAAAAAGTAAAGATAAAATGCATCCTACTCACCCCTTACCGAACTCCAGAAACAGTCAAAATCAAGAAAAACAAGCGTCAATCTATATCATAATAACAGTAACTACGTCAAAAGTCCAGGTTATCAGTTTTAACACAGAACGCCCGACAGATGTGTGCTATCTCGCTTCTGTGCCGTTAATTATATACAGTTTTTGGTTTACTTGCTTATAATTAACATGTGATTGATTGTTTACGCCATGCTAGTTCTGTACTGGACTCATTTTTTTTTGTTATTTTTGGTAAAATGTTTTTTGTAAGTGTCGCTTTGAAGTAGTCGAGCTAGCGTCTAATAGCCAATAGACCACCACAGACGGGGTCCTATAGGGCTGATGTTCAGCCGGGCTTGCGAAGTAAGCGTAATAAGTCACTGCGACCTCGGCCTAAAGCAGAAGAGGGGTGGTTTTTAGTCTGACTCTGGGTCTCACTTCACCCTTGGCTTGAGAAGTCATTTGATGGTTTTTTGTGTGTATAAAACCCAACAATTTACCATGGCCCCGGCCGGAACAGGAGAACGACCAGGGTGGTTTTTAAAAACTGCTAGTTTTTATCTTAATAAAGTTGCCCTGCCAAATTGCATAACGGTCATTTAGTAAGAGTCTAACGCTTGCTCTCATCTCACATAGGCCTAGAGAAGTCATTAAATACTTAATATTATAATGGTACATTAATTTACTTAGAAAATACCAATATATTATCAATTCACAGCTGCGAAAATACCCATTGTCCCAAATATCTATCGTCACGTATCGAGAAACTGATCACGAATTACGACTCTAATATTAAATTAAATAACATTGCAGTAAATCACAAGTAATTATTCATATTTACAAACAGTGCTATCGAAAATTGTTCATTCGCCGCACATAAACGTATACCAATTTGTCAAATTATTTTAAATCTTATGTAATTGTGTTTAAGATGATATTTGATTGTATATATTTGGTAGATTGAGGTGAGGTTGATATGCGATCGTGTGTTCGGATATTATCTATCGAGGTCAAATTAATTGATTATTTATATGATCATTTGCTGCGAACCCTTTGCTTGGTTTGATAATGTTTTGTTGTTTGGTAGAGCAACGCCAAGTTCTTTGTTTTGTATATTTTTCGTAACCAAAATTCGGCTTTTTTGAAATTCTTCGATATTGACTTCATTCGCTTACATTCAACCGTCGTTTTACGCCGGTTTCATTTGTACTCGAACTTGCTCATTTGTGGTGAAACATGACTGTCCCACCTTTTAAATGTATTAATTGGCCAATTCTAGTACTAAGTTTTTAATTAAAATGTTATTTAAAAAAAAAAAACGTTTACAAACATGCAATTTCACATACACATCACACCCAGAGTTGTTTCGTGCGGGAATAGTTGCCCCAGATACAGCAACAACCTTGCAGTCAAACTGTGTTAAATAAGTTCTAATGATAAATTAATGTGTTACTCGAGAGAGATTAACCTCTTCTCTACCGGTATATGAAACACATCGTGTTTCGCGCTCCATTCACTCACTCAATACCACGGGTTAAGGATTACTTAGCTAAGGTTTTATTCCAAAAACAATTGCGGACTAGGTTAGCCCGAGCCGGGCATGCACCCAAGCGCAATAATGTAGCGAGTTTTAGTCAGCAAAAGTCTGACACTCTCACCTCATTTAGGACGAGAAAAGATAATTAGTAAATTTCCTCCTCAAAAGAAAGTCTGGGCAGTTTACAAGTTACCATCATACGATTCTCGATTACAACAGAAAGTCTGTAGTGGAACAATTAAAGTGTGGGAGAGCCAAGCTTCGGCACGAATGGGTCGGCTCGACCGGAGTGATACCACGGCCTCACAGAATACCGGCGTGAAACAACTACAGCGTTGTGTTTCGCCGTGTGAGTTAGGTCACCGGAGGCCCAATCCCGCCCCTTCCCCTATCCCTTCCCGATCCCTATATCCGCAACCCCTATCCCCAAAATGCCGGCAACGCACTCGTAACTCGTCCGATGCGGGTGTCCATGGGCGGCGCTGATTGCTTAACCATCAGGAAATCCGTCTGCTCGTTTGCCGACTTATACCATAAAAAAATAGTACAATAAATAATATAAAAATTAATATGTAATAATTATGGAGAATTTATCAGACTTGGCTGCATTTTCTAAACGTATGTTTTTAATTTTGTTCGCAGGGAACAAGAGCCGGCGTGCGATAGAGACACATCTTTCAAGAAGGAGGCGCCGCAACAATCCAACGGGACAGGTAAATCAGTGTTTTTTATTATGATATTTTAATCTGTGAGATATTTATGCTTCGTCATGAATTGACTGGCTCGAACAGACCTAGACCAGAGTATACGGTCTCACAAAACTTTGCTTGCGTTGTGTTTTGTCTGTTGTATGAGTGTGGTTACCGGAGCTCCTATCTGCCCAATACTTCAAGTCCATAACAAGCAATCAAAATGAAAGCCCAGTAATGTACTTTTTACTCCTCTAGTGACCTCTAGCGTCGCCCTACCCAAAAAAAACCCTTATTGTATGTGTAAACGTTGAAAACGGGATATTAAATTCTTACCCTGTGTTTTAGCAAAGATTCCTTTAGGATAGGTCGGCACACAAAAGAGCAGACTGATCACCTGTTGGACAGCCAATCGAGTGCGTTGCCGGTCTTTTGGAGACCCCCCACAGATCCCCCCATCTGTGGGGGGGGGGAGGGAGCCGGTTTCTGTTCCTTTAGAATGGAATCTTCAATGTTATCATGTTCTAATATGTTCCATATTAAACAGCTCAATAGGTTCATCCGTCCATATTGCCATACAAAAAAATTGACTGTTAGATGCCATTTTATATAGAAAGAAGTCCAAAACAAAGTATTAACCTACCCAAAACACAAATAAGGAATAATCCTGCAGGTGGAATCCTTTGCGGGAGTCTGTTTTCCCCGAATGGTATAACCTGTCTTCAAGACCCGAGTGAATAGGTGCTTATCGGTAGGCCTTCTTCATCGTAGCTCGCATCATCGCTTATGATCAGGCGTGGTAACGGTAAAAAATAACCCATCTGTTTGATTACAGAATCGTCTTCGTCGTCAGCGGACACCGCGTCCCAAGGATCAGGGTCTGCAGCACCCGCGCAGAAGGCACGACGACATGAACCACAGGTAAATTCTTCCTTTATCGTCATAATTACTACGTCGTCTGCTGACGGGGGGAGCAAAATACATTTTAATGCCATGGTACATGAGGTACCATGTCCTTGGCCTTGAACAGGATAATTAACGATGTGGTTTTTAGTCAGTAAGAGTCTGACACTCCTTCTCGAAGCACCTAGAGTCCCGCTCATTACTCATTAGTAATCATTAACAGATACGATTAGCAGAATCGTTTCTCTGGTAAATGTGAACGTCTCCTCCCGCAGTGGTGTTTTGCAATAGAGATTGTCAGATTCATACTAACTAAGAATCACCCTGTTACTATAGCCAAATTATTCAGAAATGATGATTGTGTAGCCGATTGTCCACCGGCTGTGCTTGCTTACCGTCGCATCATGCGTCTGCTCGTTTGCAATAAGGAATTCCATAAAAGACCTTAATAAAATCCAACTGTAACAGTCTTTACTTGCTGTACTTGGACAGAGGCTTTTTTTGAGAGAGGAAATCATCAAATCACTCGTCCACGGTGAGCCAAGACATAGTGTCAGACTCTTACTGACTAAGAACAACCCCGTTCGTATTGCTCTTGACCTTCAACCCTTGCTTAGTTGATTAGGGCTGCCCTCAGTTATCCACTCTTTTAATTAGCTGGCTGAAAGCCATCCAGCTTAGCAGTCAAAACCCTTAACGTACTGAACTACGACCTGGTCCTCAAAACTATTTAATTGAACTGCGATCCTTATCTATTTGTTTGTCCACAGAGGGAAGAGCGTCGCCAGGAAGCGGCTAGTGCCCCGCGGATTCAACCAAACCCATTATTGAGGTAAGCTGCATAACATATTTTTAGTCAAATTTATCTTCAGTATAAATATACCGATGACCGTTGCGGGAAACGTGAGTAGTTCTAGAGTGGAGACCACGTCTAGGCTAACGTAGTGTAGGACGCCCTCAAGCTAGGTAGCGATATCCGCTGGGTGGCTAGCAGTGATTGGATGAGAAGAGCTGAACATCGAGCTCAGTGGCGTGGAATTGGGAATTGGAATTTGGGATTGGGGATTGGAATTGTCGGAGAGCCATGCTTCGGCACGAATGGGTCGGCTCGACCGGCGTTATCGCACGGCCTCACAGAAAAACTGGCGTGAAATAACTAAAGAGTTGTGTTTCGCCGTGTGAGTGAGGTAACCGGAGGCCCAATCCTTCCCCAACCCAATCCCTTATTTTTCCCAAAATCTCCAAATCCCTAATCCCTAAAAGGTCGACAACGCACTCGTAACTCCTCCGTCGTTTCGGGTGTCCATGGGCGACGCTGATTGCTTACCATCAGGTAATCCGTTTGCTCGTTTGCCGAACTATCACATAAAAAAAAACCTTTGTTCAGCAGTCGACGGAATTAGGCTGTTGATGATGACGATAAATTAGGATAAATATTACAGTAGTAACACAGTGAAACGAAATGCACCCATAACTTTCTTTCTTTCTCATTTATACTAATATTATAAAGACGTAAAAGTAAGTTCGTATGTAGGGGGTAATCTCCGGAACCGCTGGTCGGATTTCCAAAGTTCTTTCAATGATAAATAGCTGCTTAATTTGCGTATTTTGGTCGAGCTTTGAACGCTGCTGTTTTAAAACTCCGGAATAAATTACTTTTTTACGCGTGCGAATCTTCGGGCGGAAGCTAGTAACTGATAAGGAATTAGGTATAGGTATGTGTTTCATTTTCTTCCAACATTTTCCCCGTATGTTTCTCGCGTCTACGCTCACATAGCTAAAACCAAGCCTAGTGCTAGCTTTTGAAGAAGGTGATCACTTATTCATAGAAAACATCTTTTCATACGCCGACCTTACGTGTGCTTAAATGGTTGCCTACAGACAAATCTCCGAGGTGCTGTAGTGTTGACCCATACATGCAGTGCCTCCCGTCTTTGTCCCGAAGTATACAAAAACTATAGAGCGCCTCCTAGCGTTCCTTGCATTCTTTAGCGCATCTCTGTTTCTAACAGAAGGCCAAAGTCTATTTTTTACCCGACTGCCAAAGAAGGAGGGTAATGTTTTTCGAGTGTATGTAAGTATGTATGTATGTCTTTTCCTTTGTGACCTCCTGTAGCCTAAACGGCTTGATGGATTTTGATGTATGAGGTATCGTTAGATTTGTCTTGATTACGGGAGTGTCATAGGATACATTTTATCCTAAAAGTCCCACGGGATAAAGACATAATAATATTTTTTCTAAATTTCCATTTAAAAAAATATGTATGCGGTATCATTAGATTCATTTCAATCACGGGAGTAACGTTAAATAAAAACAGCTAAAAAGTTATAAATAAAAAAAATATTATTAAAAAAACAAAATACCCGACTGCACACTAAAAAAAGAGTAAAACAAGCCCCACAATACAAATTTACTGAATATAATCTATAAATGTTGATGGAAAGCATCGCAGGCGGGGACCACCTTGACCGCCACCAACGAAAATTCTGCTAAATGGTGCACAACAGAAATGACTATAAATAAGCCTCTGTTGGTCCCCGCCTGCGATGCTTTCCATCAACATTTATAAATTATATTCAGTAAATTTGTATTGTGGGGCTTGTTTTACTCTTTTTTTAGTGTGCAGTCGGGTATTTTGTTTTTTTAATAATATTTTTTTTATTTAAAGATGACACCGTAGTTTCTCTTTCTTTTCCATTAGAATCTACACTTTGGAGGGAGCACCTAGCTTCATTGACGAACTGACTGACTAGTCTATACTAATATTATCAAGAGGTATTTGTAAGTTTGTATGTAGGGGGTAATCTTTGGTGCCACTGGTCGAATTCCCATAATTCTTTCAGTTATTGATAGCTACAATGTTTCCGAATGCTATAGGCTATAAAACATCACTCTAGGATTAAATGGAGCCGAGCAGCGGGTGACACCGCGCGAGAGTAGCTAGTATTCTATAAAGTTTTAAAATTGCCTGTTTATGGTTTAGTTAGAATAAATACTTTGAAAATTAAATTCTTTGACACGTTACATACTATAAAGAACAATGCTATCCGCTATCTGTCCTTATGTATGCTTAGATGTTTAAAACTACGTGACAGATTTCGATGCGGGCTTTATTAACATATGTTATGATTCAAGTGGAAGGTTTTAGAGTACGTTTTTTAAGGTTTTTTTTTTGTGAGGGGTAAACCATCAAATGACTTAACTAAAAATCGAGCGCGCGACGTCGCCGCGTCAGCGCACGCTGCTCATGAGGAAGAACCCCTCTGTGGTTCGAAACTAGTAGAGCTTTTCTCAATATTTACACGTGAGCAACCCGCGATTTTTAGTTATTATAAAAACATAAAATGACTTCTCCCGGGCAGGAGGGAGTGTCAGACTCTTACTGACTAAAGACCCCCCTGTTCCTTCTCCTGCTCTAAGCCGGGGTCGCGGTGCCTCATTGCGCTTACCCCGCAACCCCGGCTGAACATCAGCCCTATACGGCCCCGTCAGTAGTGGTCTATTGGCTCTCTGAGGCGCGCGCGGAACGCTACGCGCCGTACGCTCGGGCCTGGTTCTGGTCGCGAGCTGCCCTTGCTCGCCGACCGAAGACCCGCGCTTACGGTGGCCGGAGATCATCTCTCGACGTTTTTTTTAAGGTTTGCTTACGAAGTCGCGGGTAGAAAGCTATTTGTTTTATATAGATTTTGAAAGCAATTTTATTTTAGGACCTTTTCTGGTTTTATCTATTCAAGTTATCTTCTTATCATTTTGAGGGTTCGGAGCCTGGCAAGTACCAATGTGACTTTTGCCGACTTAAATGTACTTTCTATGTTTATTGAGACACCATAGACTTACGGTGAAGAAAAAAAAACATCGTGACCTGCACTTATAATTTCTCATTATAAGTTTTTGAAATCAGCAATCCACCTTGAGCAAGCGTGGTGGTTAATACTCAAACATTCTCCGTGTGAGAAGAGGCCTTTGCTCAGCAGCAGTGGACATTTTTAGGATATATTATTATAGGTTAAACCTAGCAAGATAAAAACCAGATAGGCTTTCACGTAACGATTTAAAAGAACCTTCTCAACCGTGGTTTTACACTTAAATACACACCTTCAAAATAGGTACGCGACCTTGAATCTCAAAGCCTGTTTTTCAGGCCTTTTAGGGATTTATTTTAACATCGAACTCAGTAATTTCTGCTTATTGTCCTGGAACTAAAGTGTGTATGATGATGTGAGGAAAGTATTGGTTACATTTTCAATGATCATTTTAAATGAGCAATTTGTTGCCTTTTGATCTATTGCTATCTGCCAGCGGCTTCGGCTGTAAAACCAGGATAAAAAGAAGCCCATGTGTTAGTCCAGACTATAATCTATCTCTGTGCCAAATTTTATTCAGATCCATTCAGTAGTTTTTACTTGAGATAGTAACAAACATCTATCCGTACTTACAAATTTTCGCGTAGATTGTTTCAAGAGAAAATACCTTATACAAAATTAGGTTCCGTCGCAAAACAGCAGCGTTTAAAGCGATAGGTTGTCAAAAATACGTAAATCAAGTATAGACTGTAGTACTCAGGATCATTGTAGCTATCTGTCAGTGAAAGAATTTTGGAAATCCGACCACCGGTTCCAAAGATTGGCCCCTACATAAAAACTTACTTAACCTCTTTATAAATTAGTACTACTTATATATGTATTAAAAATTTTTCTACGCTAGTTACTAAGCCTGCCAGTAAATAGCGGACAGACAGACGCACAATAATCGTCACAGTTGATTACCTAAACCACTTAGTTCAAGGCTGCAACCTAATCGTATTGAGAGTAATAAAATGTTGAACCCTACAGTACCAACCTTTAAGAGTTCACTCAGAATCAACCTCTGACCTTTATTCGGATAAAATATGTTTACATAAAGATAGGATGTACCTGACGCCCTTTTTTATGGTTCATTAGACAATAATCTAATTGTAGCTTCATTGAATATTTTCATCTTGGTCGGATTACAGATTTATTAGATTATATTTGCGTTATTTTGGTGGTATTGAGCGGCAAATGAGTTGACGGATAACCTGTGATGGTAAGTAATCGGCGCAAATACGTAACTCCTTTTGGCCAAGCCATTCCTTGAGGCCGTGGTATCACTTCGATCGAGCCGACCCATTCGCGCCGAAGCTCTAACACTTGTGAAATAATAAAACCAGGAATCCTGAAATACTACAGCCACTTTTATTCCATTTATGCAGATTTAAATCTTTGTGTAAGATATTAATCATGTCTCAGGTACGAGACGTCTAAATGACTCCCAAATCAGGAGGTTGGAAGCGACCTATATTCATTAGCTCCCTACAACCTTTAATAAGTTGTGTGTTTTAATAATAAATAATAATTGTTAAAATTCCAGGTCTCGGACCCTCCCGAACTTCGGCGGTCGTCAGTCGCGCGAGGCGTCCAGGTGCGACACCTCCCGGCGAGCGCACCACATCACCATGGCGTCCGAGGACCTGCTGCAGCCGGGGCACGTCGTCAAGGAACGATGGAAGGTAGGTCGAGTGGACCAAGTAGACGAGTAGACTAGTAGACGAGTAGACTAGTAGACTAATAGACGAGTAGACTGAAAAGTTAAGATCTTTTCTGTTATGAAAAATAGGTGAAGATTCTAACCTAGCAATATTGTATATAACATTTCATTTCAAAAGTATTGAAACTTTTGTGTAAAATATCCCTTGAATCGCCAATAAAGCTGAACCATTATGCTTAGAAAGTGTTAAAATTCCCATATCTTAAATTAAAAGACCCTCAAACCCCTTACCCTTATTCTTCCAGGTGGTAAAGAAGATCGGAGGCGGTGGTTTCGGCGAGATCTACGAAGGTCTGGACCTGGTGACGCAGGAACAGGTCGCGCTGAAGGTGGAATCAGCTCGTCAGCCGAAACAGGTGCTCAAGATGGAAGTGGCTGTGTTGAAGAAATTGCAAGGTTTGTAAACTCTTATTGGTAGATAGGTCATAGTGTCCAATGGGTTCAGTGGTAAAAGAGTTCTTGATGAGTGAATGTATTTAATGTAAATGGATTTAAGACGATAAAGAAGAATAGAGAGTAAAGATCCTCTGATAAAAGGAGGATCCTTCGAGCAGACAAGGTGAAAATGCTACTGTCCAACAATTGTACGTTGAGAAAATTTATTTATTTATTTATTTATTTTCCAAAACATAGACTACTTTTACAGGTTTTGTACCCAATGCAATAGCCTAGCTTATATGCCTAAACAATAGTATCTACATATTATCCTTACTTGACTACAGTTTTATAAAATCTCAGTCCCATCCATTTCCCTTGCGTGATGCAGGATTTGTGACGTCATCCGTTGAAGATTATCGTCTATCTTCAATGTGCGACGTCCATGGCAATGTTTCTTGTGGGAGAGCCATGCTTCAGTATCGCCTCACGATACCCATCGTGACATAAGCAAAGCCTTGTATTTGAAGGCCTCTACAGTTAGGTGTTGTCGACCTTTTAGGATTAGGTCTAGGGATTTGGAGACAAAATTATATTAATATGTCTGAAAAGGAGTTAATGATTGAAAGTATTTTTTTATGAGGTATGTAATCTAACGGGCTGACGGATTACCTGATGGTTAGTAATATGCGCCGCTTCAAAAGTATTTTGGGGAGGATTTAGGAATTTGGCGGTAACCGCACTCACACGGCGAAACACAATGCTGTGGTTGTTTCACGCCGGTTTTCTGTGAGGCCGTGGTATCACTCTGGTCGAGCCATTCGTGCCGAAGCATGGCTCTCCCACACTTGTAATTATAATAATTTCAATATATATGTATTTTTTATACGTATGCTGTTTATTTCCAGGCAAGGAGCACGTGTGTCGCTTCATAGGCTGCGGGCGCAACGCTCGCTTCAACTACGTGGTGATGCAGCTGCAGGGACGGAACCTCGCCGAGCTCCGCCGGGCGCAGCCCCGGGGCGCATTCTCGCTCTCCACTACACTTAGGTGACCACTTCAACGATTATACTTCTGATTTCTGAAATTGTTGTAGCCTTTATTTATGTTATTGTAACACTTAATTTTATTTAGATCTGTAAATATACAGTTTTAATAACTAACAAAAACAGGAAATTATACACCTAATAGCGGTTGCCCGCGGCTCTGCCCACGTGGATGGCGATTTTACCACTGTTACTCAATTTATACTTGCCTAGCAACCACACCAACCGGTGTGGCTAGGCACGGAACAACTCTTTGTGTGATCCACAAATTGTTGTACCTTGTCTAGGTGTGATGTGTTTGTGAAATTGTATGTTTGTAAACGCACCTACGACACAGGAGAAAATCCTAGTGTTAGGAAACTCAAAAAAAAAATTGTATGTTTGTAAACGCAACCATGATACAGGAGCAAATCCAAGGGCAGATTTTTAAAAAAATATTTGCTTTATAATAACCTAAAAATTGTTTTTGTTTTATTGTTTCAGACTGGGATTACAAATACTCAAAGCTATAGACTCAATACACTCCGTGGGATTCCTACACAGGGATATTAAACCTGTAAGTATCCACACATCATCAGCCTATCAGCCGGGGCTGCGGGGTTAGGCGCAATGAGGCACCGCGACCTCGGCCCAGAGCAGGAAGGTACGGGGGCTGGTCAGTAAGAGTCTGACACTCTTTCTCGCCTTACACTGGGCGGGAGAAGTCATTTGATGATTTTCCCCTGACAAAAAGAAATCATAAAAGTGCATACTGCTGAGCAAAGGCCTCTTCTCACACGGAGAATGTTTGAGCAATTATCACAATGCTTGTTCAAGGAGACAGCATATACATACATGTAACTTCTGGGGCACCGTGATATGGTCTATTGGAAAATTTTATCTAATGACTTGTCCCGCCCAGGGTAAGGCGAAAAAGAGTGTCAGACTCTTACTGACTAAAAACCCTGCCGTTCTTTATTCTTTAGACCAAGGCCGCGGTGCCTCATTGCGCTTACCCCGTACCTTGGTAGGCTTGACGTTTCGATCTGTTTACACAGGTCGTGGTCGCAAGCAGACTGAAGATGCGATGTGTAATTGTTTAAAATAAAAATACATGCCAAGATTGTTTACATTTAGTTAAAACCTCAGAATACAGAACAAACCACAAGGCGGCAACGCGCTTCATAGTAAAGCCACTAAAACCACTCTTAGCCAGAGTAGTATGAAATTTCTACGATCAGTCAATTTTGGCACGTGGCATGTCGTGACGTATTTACGAGTATCAATTTTAATTTCACTATGCAGTCTTGTGTTATTATTACGAGTAAAAATAGAGCTGGAATTACGAAAAAAGTGGATAAGATTACATTTCATCTGTAAGCATCGACTGCAATAGTATATTTAATTAATTATTGATTTTCTTTTAACGATTTATTTTTCTATGACAATGATGCGGCCATTTTGTGAGTGTTGTCATTTTTGGTGTAAAATTTACCCACTTATTTATTTGTTGTGAGTTATATTGTTGTCCATTGTGGAACCTTTGTCATATTAGTTTTAAAATGGATAAAAAACACATTTACTATACACATTGTGTATAGTCGGTGTAACTAAAATTAACACAGCCAGAAATCGTCAACTTTTATGATACCTGCATGAAATGTGTAAACAACTAGTCTGTTGCAATTATCGTAAGTTTTCCTATATTTTTTTGGGTTTTCCCAAAAAATATATCTTACCCCCCTTTAGTAAAATTACCCCAAACCCAGAGAATTGTTCCACTATCGGCAACACTACGCGGGTGGAAAGTGCGGCTGGCGGGGGGATTGACGTATTGTTTTTGGACACATTAGACAACATGCAATAATGAGTGAACGCGGCTTCTGGTTTGTTCTGTATTCTGAGGTTAACACATTCAGTGCCCCCGACGCGTATGTGCGTTTCCTTACACTACTCTGTGTGCCCTCGACGCACCTGTGCGTTCTATACATTAATGTATAGAACGCACAGGTGCGTCGAGGACGGCACTGGATGTGTTAAAACCTAAACCAGATTAAACCTGCCATATATATCAGCAGATGCCAAAAATCACCCACATAAAATTAAGATGATTTTTGACTTTTGAATAATTTGTTTTTCAGAGTAATTTCAGCATAGGCAGGTACCCCTCGAACTGCCGCAAGGTATACATGCTGGACTTTGGTCTGGCGCGCCAGTACACCACCAGTAACGGACAGGTCCGCCCGCCCCGAGCAGCTGCAGGGTTTCGAGGTGAGCTCTTCTTGCGTTTAATGAGGATGCTTATTTAGGCTTTTGTTAACCCCCGACGGGAAAGGGGGGGTGTTATAACTTTGACGTGTCTGTCTGTCTGTCTGTCTGTCTGTGGCATCCTGGGGCCCGGATGGTTGAAGCGATTTGCCACACCAAGTTTTTTTTTTTTTTTAAAGGAATATTAGTAAATTTAGTTATTGACAGGTCTTTGAGTGGGGCAGAAAGGAGTATACATACGTAAGGAATGCTTAGGTTCTTGTAAATATTTTTTTTTTTAAAGTAACATACGGACAGTGATAAATGTTAGAATATTTTTAATTTTATTTGTAAAAGTCTAATGTTTTTTCACGCCGATATTCTATGAGTTATACGTTTCTTGGTTTTTAAATACATTTTAAAAATTTAAATTTTGAGAGGCATGCTGGCCAGATAATTTCTTTGTTATATATGAAGCCTTAGTTCATATTTTTTCCTTATATGTGCATACACCTAAAATATTACATTTAAACAACTTTTCTTCTTTCTTCAGGAACCGTCCGCTATGCATCAATAAACGCTCACAAAAACAAAGAAATGGGAAGGCACGATGATCTATGGTCATTGTTCTACATGCTAGTAGAATTTGTCAATGGACAGCTGCCTTGGAGAAAGATTAAAGACAAAGAACAGGTAAGAATACCAGTAGACCGAGTAGACCAAGTAGACCTAGTAGACTTTTGTTGAAAAAGTTGAAAGTTATGGTCTTTTACACTTAGGCTAAATGTAAAAGACCAGTAGACGAGTAGGCTGGATGTAAAAGACTTAGTAGACCAGTAGACTAATGTTAATTACTGAAGGAAATAAATATGTGATTTTACTTGGTGAGTGTTATAGTTCAAAATATATATATTTTTTTTTACATATACAGGTCGGATTGATGAAGGAGAAATACGACCACCGACTCCTCCTCAAGCACTTGCCCTCAGAATTGCGTCAGTTTCTGGAGCATGTTCAACAGCTAGAGTACGCTGACTCGCCAGACTACGCCATGCTGACCTCGCTCTTAGAACGATGTTGCAAGCGCCGCGGGATACGGGATACTGACCCTTATGACTGGGAGAAAGATGTGAGTTTGGTCTTTTGGTCTTTTTATGGACTTTTTTTTTGTTTTTTTTCGGTTTATAAGGCTAGGCTTGTACCTATTTCCTAGGTCGTGTATCATGGTATTTGATGAATAGGCAAATTCAATAGTTTTTACTGGATTTTTTGTAATCGATAGTTTTCTGTGCTGTTTACATTATATGTCATTTTATTTTTACGTCCAATAGAATATGACATTCTTAAAATATGTTAAAATTATAATTAAAAAAAAGCATAGTTATTACCGTTTTAAAAAATGGAATTTGTCTATTTGTCAAATATCATGTCCCTTCTGGGAAAGAGAAGTGTAACATTTGTCATATAATAAGTTATTATGATTTTGCAGGCATACTTGTTTTAAACAACATCTTTAAATTATTTAATTGGTGAGAGTCTGTGTAGTTTTTTCGCATACAGCATCTATTTGTTACACTAGCTATGTCCTGCGGTTTCACTCGCATAGCCCATGTTCGCTGTACCCAGCGAACATGGGCTATTATATAATAGTTTTTTAGCTTAGCTGCCCAACAGTTAAAGAATTTTTCAAATTGGTCAAGTAGTTTCGGAATATTTTTAATACAAATAACCAACAATTTCTTTTTTTTATGAGATAAGTCGGCAAACGAGCAGACGGATTACCTGATGGTAAGCAATCGGCGCCGTCCATGGACACCCCCAAAGGAGTTACGAGCGCGTTGCCGGCCTTTTAGGGATAGGGGTTGCGGATATAAGCTTTGGGAAGGGATAGGGGAAGGGGAGGGATTGGGCCTCCAGTAACCTCACTCACACGGCGAAACACAACGCTGTGGGTTGTTTCACGCCGGTATTCTGTGAGGCCTTCTTTATAATATTTGTATAGTATCCATTTTTAAAATGAAAATAAGGACGTACGTGAATTATTACAAAGAAGACGTTATTCTCGTTATTTTTTTATGTCTCAAAATAGTAATGATTCAAAATCATCTGATCTGATAAAGGATTAATGATAAATATTGTGAAATCATATGCAATTTTCGGGATCGATATAGTTTGCGCAACGGTCTTTGAGTATTTTGCGCTAAAGCGTCATTGGTTTGCGCAAATGTACACTAACAAAATCATACGTATGTCATTTTCGGATTCGCTATAGTTTGCGCAACGGTTTTTGCGCTAATGCGTCATTGGTTTGCGCAAATGTGGGGATTTCAAAACGTGAATGACTTGGATCAATATAATAATAATAAATGATAAAGATTCTTACGCTACGGATTCTTAGTTTTATGCGCTAACGAGTCATTGTCATACTACAAATAATTGTGTCATTATAAAATTGTTATTATACATACTAATATTATCAAGCTTAAGAGTTTGTTTATATCCACAACTACTAGACCGAATTGAACAAATCTTTACGTGTTGGATAGCCCATTTATCGAGGAAGGCTATAGGCTATAAAACATCACGCTGCGACTAACAGGAGCCGAACAGCGGGTGGAATCACGCGGCAATAGCTAGTTTATTCATAAAATGTTTTGTGATGTATATTTTCATAATAATATGTTGTTTGAATAGGTTTTAGAATATCGTGAAATGTCCGTTTTGTTTGTTATTTATTTACATTGTACTTTTATCAGTATTTTCTTGTAAATATTTTACTCCATTTTCTTAATTCATTGATTTGAGATTTATAATTTAGGTATTTCTTATACATATTAAAAATTATTTATTTATTTAGGATCTCCAACAAAGGATATACACAAATTATGAAATAATAATAATGTGCGACAATATTCTCACGTACGTGTACTCCTCCAATTACAGGAGACCACAGCATGTACAGGAAATTACAATTAAGCAAACAAAATTTAAAAAAGTTATAAAAAATAAATAAAAATTAGTAATAGTAAAAATTTAATTCAGACATAATCAGTAACATACTATTCTAACCCTAGTGTGGGGCAAAGTTATAAATAATAAGCAGTTTTTTTAGTATGTCACTATTATGATACTAGTAGGTAGGTGGTCTACAAACTGTATGTACAGAATCTTATGTGTCACATGTTTTAGAGTGCGAAATAAAGTTTTTTCATTTATTTTCTTTCTCTCTTTCTTTCATGTCTGTGTGTGTGTAGGCGGTGTCAGTGTCGCGGACGCGCGCGGCGGTGCACGCGGCCCCCGACCACAGCACGCCGCACGACGCGCAGGTAGACCTCGTGAGTATACTCTCCGTACTATACATTCTCTTTTTCTGAGGGGAAAATCATCTAATGACTTCTCCCGCCCAGAGTCTGGCGGGAGGGAGTGTCAGGCTCTTACTGACTAAAAACCCTCCTGTTCCTACTCCTGCTCTAGGCCGAGGTCGCGGTGCCTCATTGCGCTTACCCCGCAACCCCGGCTGTCCCGGTACTATACTAAATATTCCATGGTGTTTGGTGACTGGACTTCTCCCAGTTGTACAGTCTCTTCTGTGCCTTTAAGGCCTAAGTCATTCTGTCTCCTGCATTAAATTCACCGAGGGAAGTGGAAACTTTTTAGTTTTTCCTTCTCCTCAAATAATATTGTCTGATTTATTTCGTTGCGGGATCCAAGACAGTCATTCATGTCCCTGGGACGCGGCGGACTTTTAGTGTTTCGGTGTTTTCATGGTTGTATCTACTGTAGATCCTGGTGCACAGGAGTTGCAGCGGTGTTGGGACATTAAAATACTTCCGTCAAAGACCGCATCATCATTATCGTCATCGTCATCAGTAGTTTTCTTTGTTCTAGTTTTAGTTTTCTTTCTTTCCTTATAGGTATTACCTGATGGTAAGCAATCGGCGCTGCCCATGGATACTCGCAACGATAGAGTGGTTTACAGGAATAAGAAGTACTTTGAGGTTTTAAACATTGTATCAAACACAATCTTCACGGCCTCATCCCCCCTATAATAACCACTGCCCCCCCCAGACGCGGCGCCGCGTGGAGACGGAAGCTACAACGGCGGTAGCGACGGAGACAGGCACCCCCCACAACAAGGACAAACTGCCCGACAAGCGGCCGCATCCCGCATCGCCCAGGCACCAGCCCCACCATCTCAACGGATACGTATGTACTATATATCTATACTAATACAATGTCTAGGCTTATACAATTGACTGCACCGTCGCGTTGGTGCGGTGGCTGGGCAACTGGCTGCCGTGCATAATGTCGCGGGTTCGATTCCCGCACGGAACAAATCTTTGTGTGATCCACAAATTGTTAATTTTAAAGAATACAAAAAATTGACGTCATAGTTTTTGCGTCAAATTCAAATTCTTTATTTGCATGTTAAGGTGGGTACAAGGATCTTAAATTAAAATAACAGGCATTTTTCAGGCGTTGCAGAGGGCTATTACTAGCTTATAAAATAATATTAAATTACTTAATTTACATCGCATTGCTTAAAGAGAAAAAAAATACAAAAAAGTTAAGAATTAGATAAATAAAAATACAAAAAAAGTTGATAGTTGAGTTAGTAGGTAGGTGTTTGTGTGTATATGAGGTGGGTTTTAACATTAATGTTGGTGTTCTATTTTCCTTCGAAAAATGACAATTCGAATGTTGAAAAACTGTTATTTTTTTTTTATTAAAGTTATATAAATTTTGTCTACAGTCGACGACGACGGATAAACCCACAACAACGGACAAGGAGGTGGAGCCTAGAACTACACCAGCGCCCTCTCCCGACAGACATGCCAAGGTAAATCTTTCGATAATTTAAAAATAAATAATTCAAAATTCAAATTTATTTGCAAACTAAGTGTATACATAGGTCTTATTGCTAGTGGCACTTAAAAACTTAGTAGCCTTTTCCAGGCATTGCAAACATACTAGAGGGTAGATACTTGTTACTAATATTATACTTATTAATAATTAATTAGAAAATAAATTTACACAATTAAAAGAGATCATTTTTAGTGGATCGCTGTATTAATATTAAATAATATTTCTGAGTAGGTAGGTACTATTATAAAATTTATATGTTTGATCATCATAGATATGTATATTATTTTCTGCTTATTTAAGTAGTATTTTTATATATATTCACGTGTTTTTATAAATTAATATTTAGTTAAATTATCGTTATTTATTTATAGATATATTTAAAAATTCCTCTACCGAATAAAAGCATTTGTTTATTAGAAAGGATTTCAGTTTTCTATCAAATGTTATTAAGCTGGTTTCCTTTTTTATATCTTGTGGCAGGTTGTTATATATTTTTATAGCCATATATTGTGGACTTTGGTTTAACATTTTAATTCGAGAGGGTGGAAGATATAGTCGGTTCTTGTGGCGGGTGTTTATGTTGTGTATATCTCGTATTTCAGTGAATGTGTGAATGTTTTTGAATACAAAATTACAAATGTCGTGTATATATATTGAAGGTAATGTTAGTAGTTTGTATTTTTGGAAATATGGTTTACAACTTTCTCTATTATTTATATGGGCCAGAATTCTAATACACTTCTTTTGCAGTACAAATAGTTGATGCATGTTGATAATAATATATTGTTAAAACAACATGAGAGTAACATCAAATCTCAAGAACAGTTGAACCGTTTTCGATGATTCGTTTTTGTTCTGTTTGTTATAACCGACATTTTACTCATGATTATGAACTCTTTCCTGGCTAGAATCTAGTCGACCAACTTTATTAATCATACAGTACCTAAATATACATTTTTCTATGCGATATAGATAGGTATTTAATTTGTAATTTTTATTTAAATTAATGGCTAAGTGTATGAATTGTACATACACGCAATACGGTAGTTTCCAACTAGTCAAATTCAATACTTTTATCCAAATGTCAAAAACGATACTTTTCTATGAGATTTGTATTAAACACTGAGTAACTTATTTCTTAAAAATATCAAAAATTCAGTGTCTCGATCGATCGATGAATAAAAGTATAGTTATTTTTCAATATTTTATTGTATTGAGACGTTGAATTAATTTATTTTTGACCTAGGAAACTACTCTACTAAAATAATAATAAATTAATATATATTATAGGCTTTTTGTATGCACAAAATAAAAAAAGATGGTACATAAAATTTGACTGGTAATTTCTAATAGACAATGAATAAAAAAATAATAATACATTGTGTATATTCCACCCAGCAACAAGAGACAAGTAACTCTGCAGTGACGGGTACTACGACGCGGCCTGAGAGGCAGAGCGTACCTCCATGCAAGCCGAGACCTCCTGCACCAGGTATGTGCAACCATTTTTTTTTTATTCTTATCAAGTACTAGGGAAGTAGCAAGTCGCAAGGGTGTAATGCAGATACTAAATTTCTCCACTATTTAATGGATGTTATTTATATTATTTAATATTATAAAGCTGAGGAGTTTGTTTGAACGTGTCAATCTCAGGAACTGCTGGTTTAAATTGAAAAAATCCATTTGTGTTTAATAGACCATTTATTGAGGAAGACTCCTAGAGAGCACCTAGTTTCACTGACGAACAGACTGACAGACTACTATTCTATTTGGCGTTTCAAAAGTACATATTTATGGTTTAGTTGGAATAAATGATTTTCACTTTGACTTTAGGCTATAAAACATCACGCTACGATCTGTAAGAGCCGAGCAGCGAGCGAAACCGCGCGAGAATACCTACTAACGATACTACTCAGAGGTTTCAATCGCTGGACTTAAAGTTTATACATAACTTGCCAGTTATACATATAAACTTTCCGTCGTAGTTTTAAAGGTTTAAACCATAGATTCCCAAAGTGGTCCAGGTGGACCCCCAGGGGTCCACGGGAGCCCGACAGGGGTCTACGCTTTCGTGGAAAAAGAATGGGGGTCCACAACTCATTAATGGGGGTCTATAAAAATGTATTAGGTGACCCGACTTGACTTCTACTATGAATATAGGAAGACAATATTATAGGCATACAATATTATAAGAAGGTCAGCAATTGTTTTTGTAAGAACTTGCATATTCCATATTCAGAAAGAGCGTGTCAAGACTCGTCCATGCCGCGCCGCCCGCCCGAATAGTTAAAGTCGTATCTTAACTTCATAAACTTGTTAGATTTTTCTCTAATATAAATACGAATGCGAATAATAAACGTCACTCAGTTGTTTCCCGAATTTCAAAAAAGAAAGTGTAATTACTTAATACGAAACATGGCTGAATATAAGAAGAAGTGTCGACAGTACAGTGTTGAATATTTGAAATTTGGTTTTCTTCCATCAAATACAGACAAGCGATTGCCCATGTGTCTTTTATGCAACAAAATCTTGAGCAATGACTCTATGAAACCATCGAAGCTGGAAGATCATCTAAGAAGGTGTCATCCTGACAAAATAGGTAAAGATTTAAAATATTTCCAAACATTGAAGGAAAAGTATGAAAAGAGACCCACCGTGCATAGTATGTTCGCTTCAACGTCTGAAAGCAACGCCGATGGCTTGCGGGCATCTTACAATATCTCATTACTTATAGCAAAATCTGGGAAACCGCATACCATTGGAGAGGAGTTAATTTTGCCTGCTGTTGAAGAGGTCTTAAAAACTGTCCTGCACAAATCTTCATTTGAAATACTTAAAAGAATTCCTTTGAGTAACAACACTGTACAAAGACGTATTGATGAAATGAGCTCTGATGTTGAAAGTTTCTTGTGTAATTATCTGCAAACAACTCATTTTTCTATTCAACTGGACGAGTCAACTTTACCTGGCAATGAAGCATTATTATTGGCATATGTTCGATTTATCAAAGGCGAACAAATGTTTGAAGAATTACTATTCGCGAAAACTTTGAAGACTGACACTAAAGGTGAATCAATTTTTAATGTTCTGAATGATTTTTTTACGGAAAAATCAATTCCTTTCACAAACATTATTTCGGTGGCAACAGATGGAGCTCCTGCCATGGTCGGAAGATATCGTGGGTTTATAAGTCATCTTAAAAGGATTATACCAGAGGTAATCGCAATTCACTGTGTCATCCACCGACAACATCTAGTAGCGAAAAAATTGAGTGATAGATTGCACCAAGCGCTTCAATTTGTGATTAATGCAGTCAACAAAATAAGAAGCAATGCGTTAAATACGCGCTTATTTGCACAATTGTGCGAAGAAAACGATGAGGACTTCCAACGATTGCTGCTACATACCGAAGTACGCTGGTTGTCGAAAGGTGCATGTCTATCAAGATTCTATTTGCTTTTCGACCCTGTTTTAGAGTTTCTGAACACTAAAGATCCTGTTTTAAAAGAAAACCTCATGAATTTCAAAGCAGACATTGCGTATTTGACAGATTTGTTCAAAAAATTCAATGACCTCAACCTACACTTACAAGGAGACAGCCTCAATTTGATAAAAACAAAGAGTGAAATTTCAGCTTTTCTTGGTAAACTGAAACTTATGAAGCAAAATATTGGTCGACGTGAATTTTCCCAGTTTCCAAATTTATCTCAGGTAGAATGCCTCGACGAAGATATTCAGACGTATGTTCAACATTTGATTGCCCTGTATGATGATTTTAAAATCAGATTTGAAGATATTCTGTCAATGGATATACCACCATGGATAATAAATCCATATGATGAAACTGAAGTGGAAAATGTGGTATTGCAAGAAGAGCTACTCGAGCTTAGCACTAATGAGGAGCTCAAAGTAGCATTCAAAAGAGGGTATCAATCATTTTGGCTGCAGGCACAAATACCTGAAAAATATCCAGGACTGTGGGGAATTGTGCAAAAATTTCTCATAGCGTTTCCTTCGTCATATCTTGTCGAACGCAGTTTTAGTGCCGTAACAAACTTGTTGACAAAAAAACGGAGCAGATTAAACATTACAGAGCGAGGAGATTTACGGTTATACTTAACTAAACTCAAGCCAAATATTGATAATTTGCTGTCAATTCTCCAAATACATCCCTCCCATTAAAATTATAACTTTAATCTCAGATTACAATGGTAATCTGAGATAAAAAACAGTCACAATATAATCAAAATTTTGATTAAATTGTGACTGTTTTTTAAATAATAATAATTATTAGTTTTGATGTTAAATTTTGATTCTGCTAAGACTGTTAAAAAAACATAATTTAATTTGATTATATAGTTATAACAGCATAATTTTGATTATAAAGTTATAACAATCAAAATTTTGATTATATTGCGACTGTTTTTAAAATAATTACCATTATTAGTTTTCATGTTAAATTTTTATTCTACTAAGACAGTTATTACAACATAATTAAAAGTGTAGTAATTATATTGTTTTAATAAATAGCTACAAAACAAGCAAATATTTATTTTTACTTTTTACCACTCCGAAGTGGGAGCTTATTGGTTGTACTGTGAGTCAATCTTAGAATACAAAAAAGTAAAGTAGGAATCCAACTGTTGGATGAAGACGCATTTTAGACTGGCCTTGAAACTTAGCTTAAATGACAATACCCACAGCATAATCAAAGCTATATTGCTTTGATTATGCTGTGAGTTTCTTTTCTCACCTTTTTTTCGAAAACTTAACTCACTTTTGATTGAAAAATAGCTACAACACAGATTTACATAGACATATAATTTTTTCGGGTTTTGGAAGTAAGTTAGTAAATTTAATAGCTACAGGGGGTCCACCAGATCCAGCAAAATGTTTGAAGTGGTCTATGAGAAAAAAAAGTTTGGGAACCTCTGGTTTAAACGTACATAGGGGCAGAGAATGCGACTTTGGTTTAATACAAAGTCACTGTCTCTGTAATTAATTGTATTGAGAAGTCAAAATGTTATATACGAGCTACTCTCGCGCGGTTGCAACATCTGCTCGGCTCCTACAGACCTTAGCGTGATGTTTTATAGCCTAAAGCCTCGATAAATGAACTAACAAAACAAAAAGAATTGTACAATTCGAACCAGTAGTTTCGGAGATTAGCGCGTTCAAACCAACAAACTCTTCAGCTTTATAATATTAGTATAGGACCTAAGTCTGGACTTGAAAAGAAACGGACCTCTGAGTTTGTTTCGGCATTTCTTCTCAGAGTAGTCAGATAGGAAATGACGGCTTCATCTAGTTTTTCACATATATTCACGTTTTATGGCCTATTTGCAAAAATAAATTCATTGTTTCATTATTTTTTTTTTATCTAGACACCAATTAAATGAATGATTTGTTGTTTCTTTTTCCTCAACTTTGGCTATGCTACGTTCCTCAGGCGGAGGTCCAACGTTGGCCCGGCTCCGCGTGGTGACGGCCCCCCCAACCTGCGTACAAGAACTTGCTGCGGCATCGCCTGCTACTCCAGGTAATATACGTACCATCTTCTTTCTGGAACAACCTTACCACGACCTCCCAAAAACTGTTATAATTCTTGTGCACCAGGGTCTACAGTAGATACAACCATGAAAACACCGGCCCACTGAAGTCCGCCGCGTCCCAAGGTCTTGAATCTCTTAACGAAATAAATCAGATCAGAAGTATTTTTTTTTGTAATAGGTCTGCAAACGAGCAGACGGATTACCTGATGGCAAGCAATCAGCGCCGCCCATGAACAACCGCAACAACGGAGGAGTTCGGAGTACGTTGCCGAGCTATTAAGATATTAACTGATTGAGGGAGGGTTAGGATGGGGTCTCCGGTAACCTCACTTATACGGTGAAACACAACGCTGTGGTTGTTTCACGCCGGTTTTCTGTGAGGCTGTAGTATCACTCCGGTCGAGCCGAAGCATGGCTCTCCCTAACTTGTATGTTTAAAGTATACTTTTACCATCAGGTGAAGCAGTGAGCCCAAGAATAATGGCGGCTGACGTGGACAGTGTACATTCAGACACGCATTTCAAAAGAGGTAAGCTGTAATCTTATTTTATAAATACTTATATTTTGTCGAATATGTTTTACGCCCGGCGGGGATGCGTCTCTAAGCTGCCGAACAAAAATAGGCTAACTACCGGTTTCCGAAAGGCCGATCAATGTTAAAATGAATTTAATCTCTTGTCATGTCATCTGATTGGTTGACTGAATTATCAACAACCAATCAGATGACTTGACAAGAGATTTGACACCTAGTTAGTTGATTTTAACATTGATTGGGCTTTCGGAAACCGGGCATTAATCTTTAAAACTACGCAATGGATTTTGATGCGGATTTTTAATCGACTCGAGAGTTATTGATAAAGAAGGTTTATATGTATTATAAAATTCATTAAATAGTGGAGAAATTTGGTATCAGCATTGTACCCGTGCAGAGTCGGGACCGGTCATTAGTCTATACTAATATGTATTATAAAGAGGTAAAACTTGTAAGTTTGTATGTAGGGGGTAATCTGGAACCGCTGGTCGGATTGCCAAAATTCTTTCACTGATAGATGCTACAATGTTCCTGAGTGCTATAATAGGCTATAGAACATCACGCTACGATTAAATAGAGCCGAGGAGCGGGGGAAACAGCGCGGGGGTAGTTACTGATAAAAAAAATACATAAAGAACCTACCACAAAATACGTATATTATCGTACATATACTTTTTTTGAGAAGAGAAAAACATGAAATGCCTTCCCCTGCCCTGAGTGGAAGAAGAGGGAGTTTCAGTCTCTTTCTCAACTAAAAAGAACCCACCCCATTCGTTCTCCTACCCCGAGCCAGAAAGGGGTACATTATTTAATTACTGCACTGGTTAGCGCGGTGGCTGAGCAACTGGCTGCCGTGCAACGTGTCGTGGTTTCGATTCCCGCACGGAACAACTCTTTGTGTGATCTACAAATTGTTGTTCCGGGTCTGGGTGTGATGTGTATGTGAATTTGTATGTTTTTAACCGCACCCACAACACAGGAGCAAATCCTAGTGTGGGGAAACGCTTTTTTTTATTAAATAAAATACTGTGAATTTCTAGTTTCCTACATACACTTGACCGTCATTTCGAAATACTTACAAAAATTCGACCTCGTTCCCAATAACACGATTTAAAAATACAACATGTCATTAGCGATATTTTAAAAATATATCATAGTAAAACAATATTGTCAGTGGCTATCGAGCTTTAACTTGGTTGGGAAGACCTTAGTCTAGTAGTGGACGTACAGTGGCTTTTTTGACGATTGTAACTGCAATTCGTTCTTGACAGTTGTGTTTTGTGGTTTTTTTTATTTCGTTCATCAAATCCCAAGCGAACGCCGGCGTCCGTACACCTATTGTTCGTTTTTGTGTCTCGAATTACCTAGATTGAAAGTTTACATACATTCTTGTACTCTTAAATAAGATATAAATTAAGTGTGGAAGAGCCATGCTTTGGCACGAATGGGTCGGCTCGACCGGAGTGATACCACGGCCTCACAGAAAACCGGCGTGAAATAACCACTGCGTTGTGTTTCGCCGTGTGAGTGAGGTTACCGGAGGCCCAATCCTTCCCCTCCCCCAATCCCTCCTCAATCCCTAAATCTCCAAATCCCTAATCCCTAAAAGGTCCGCAACGCACTCGTAACTCCTCCGTTGCAGTCCATCAGGTAATCCGTCTGCTCGTTTGCCGAGCTATTACATAAAAAAAAGATATAATATATTATTTATAGAATATATGTAATAAGATGCTTGGTAAGTAACCGTGCTTCGTGGCTTTTTTTATGTGATACTAGCTAATCTCGCGCGGTTTCACCCGCTGCATGGCTCCATATGATCGTAGCGTGATGTTTTATAGGCTATAGCACTCAGGAACATTGTAGCTATCTATCAGTGAAAGAATTTTGGCAATCCGACCAGCGGTTCCAAAGTTTATTATAATATTAGTATAGCAGCAACAGCGAGCAGGATTTTGATGTCAGCGTCCCCTATCGACACCCGCAACAACAGAGGATTACGTTGCCGGCCTTTTGGGATTAGGGTTTCGAGATTTAGAAAGTAAGATGGGGAACGATGAGATCTCCAACCAACCTCAATACCACGGCGAAACACAACGTTGTTGTTTTTCACCCTGGTTTTCTGTGTGGCCGTGGTATCACCCCGGTTTAGCCGACCCATTCGTGTCGAAGCATGACTCTGTCACACTGAAATTGGTAATCGGTCCGGTGTTTTGACCAAATACGTGACTTTTTTAAGGAGGCCACGACACAGGAGAAAATCCTAGTTTGGGACAAGACAACGTGTTTTTTAGAAAAAAAAAAAAAAAAATTTAAGTAGAATGTTGTCTGTTTGTCTCTAGGAGCGCGTCGCACGGCCCGCGCCCGAGCCGACCAAAGCTACACGCAGTTCGCTGTCATGGACGACGAGAATGTGTCCGCTTTGCAACAGGTATGCTGTAGATATAATGAGCTGACGGATCACCTGGTGGTAAGCAATCGGCGTCTCCCATCCATCGTCTGCCGTCCTGCAATCACCAGAAGAGTTGAGCGTGTTACCAGGCTTTGTGGGTTAAGAATTCTGGGAATGAGAGAAGGGGTGATATTTAAGCTTTCGGTATCGTCATATGATATCCTAAGTCGAATAGGAGTCTACTAAAAATATCTAATAATGATCATTGCGATATTTATCGATACTATTTTGAGCCGACTTCCAAAGATCAGTTCAGTAATTCTTTTTAAAAAATGTTGACGAACGAAGGTACCTTAGTTGAGATTTTAATTTTGGACAAAAATAAAATATACTCCGGCCATATCTACTAAAAATATAAAGGTAAATTTCAAAAATGTTTATTACTTCACAGGTCACGAAAGGCGGAGCCCTAACACTGGTATCTCTATGGAAGTCCCAATTCGATGACTCTGAAGAGACCACAGACAACGAATGGAAACAGGAACAGTTACAGGTGAGGCATAAACTACAATTACACTTTTTTCGCGGGTGGGCAAATTTATTTAGACATTTAGAAGCATAGAACTTTGATTTTAATAGGTTTTAAGGCTTTGCCCACCCCTGGGCATATCGAAAAAAGTTAGATCAAATCAGTTGACTACTTTTTGTAGAGAGTAGCGATAGACTCGAAATTGAATATGCCCATCACGTCACGGGTGGCACGGGTGGGCCAACTTTTTCAGATTTGTAGAAAGAGTAAGGGCAAAGCCTTAAAAACTTAATACAGTACTATCTTTCTACGGGTGGTTTCAATTTTCCACGGGTGGGCAAACTTATTTATACATGTAGAAGCATAGAACTTTGTTTTTAATAAGTTTTTAGGCTTTGCCCACCCTTGGGAAAATAGAAAAGAAATCAGTAAAGTACTTTTAACTAGAGAGATTGACTCGAAATTAAATATTTGCCACGGGTGAGCAAACTTGTATAGATATGTAGAAGCATAGTATTTTGTTTTTAGTGGGTTTTAAAGATTTGCCCAACTCTGAGAAAAAATTGTACTTTTTATTTTTTACCGGTTACAACTTTTAGCTAGAGAGTATCGATAGACTAGAATAAAAATATATCTCGCGAGTGGGCAAACTCTTAGAGGAAAACAATAAAATTGAATCTGTAAAGTAATTTGAACTAGAGAGTAGTGATAGAGTAAAAAAAAAACATTTCTCACGGGTGGGAAAATTCATTTAGACATATAATTGTTGTAGGTGGTTGGATTATAGCGACCCTCACTTCAATTTTATAATCAATACACTGTTTTAAAATCAGTACGGGCGTTTGTATTTGGTTTAATATTACGCAGTCGTAGACGGCCTCAGTATGCTATAGTATTACAGGCACCTAATGGATATTTATTTGTATTTTCTTTATTTAAAAATAAATTAGAGTACCATCGACGATCGTTTCTTAAAATCAACATTTATATAAAGATATACTGAATAAGAATTTGTTTATCATATTAGAAATTGAACTGACAAATTATACGTATAGTAGAGATGAAGTAGTATATGGTAGTTAGGTGGTAGCGTGTGAGTAGTGTGTGAGTAGTGCGCGGCGTGTCCGCAGTCCCCGGAGAGGGCGCGCACGTCGGGCGTGTCGTCCTGCTCGCACCGCCAGCCCACGCAGCCCACGCAGCCCACGCAGCCCAGCACGCACTCCACGCTACACACGCCCCACACCGTGCAGCATCTGCTCCTGCAACAGGTATCATACACCCGACATCCCACATCCGACCATATTACATCTTTACATCATACTACTACACTCCACTATACTACATTTGACTACACTACACTCGACTATACTACATTAAATTACATTATATTTAATAATAATTATACCACACTTAACTTCTCTACATTCCGATGTCTTTGCGCTCGTCGCCTTTGCACTACACTCACCTACACTGCGCTACCCTACACAACACTCGTATCACCAAACTACACTTAACTTTACTACGATACACTACAATCAATTCCACTACACTACATTGCACTACATTCACTACACTGCAATCCATTTCACGCCACGCTTTACTACACTCAACTCCACTACGCTATTCCTTTTACACTTGTCACCACACTACATTCGACTACTCGAATCACGACACTTCACTACATTCAATTCCACTACGCCTACGCTACACTCACTACAGACCATTCGCTCATTTTAACTGTCACAGTGTTTTGTTTTTAACATATTTGGGTACTTGACTTTATGGAAAATATATAAATTCAACTTTTCAGCACTTAAAATATTTGAAATTCATACATAACTGACGATTTTTACAACCGGTAATAAGTAGTTCATTTGGTTTTTGGCGACGTAAGATCGGAAATAATGAATAGATGTCTTCACGAATATATGCATCACGCAAGCGAAATCTTGACGAACAACTGTTGGGTCTTGGGTAGTAGCCCCCCAGACATTAGACACTCCAGGGGTCGGGGTTCGAGTGATGATTGCCGACTACCGTAAGCGCGGGTCTGCGGACGGTAAGCAAGGGTCGATCGCCGCCCCACCAGAACCGGATTCACGCGCCTCTAAAGAGCCAGTAGACCGCCACAGATAGGGCCCAATAAACCCGTTTTTCAGTTGGGGATGCGGGGTAACCGAATTCATGTAACGTCGTACCGCGTTCTGTGACTGAAGCAGGAGAAGGAACGGGATGGCTTTTAGTCAGTAAGACTTTGACACTCCCTCTCTAAGCGAGATTTTGATGATATGATCGTCCCGCCTACTCGGAGCATCTTTAATTTTCCGATCTTACGAGAACTTTGCTCTCTTTTCCCTAAATATCAGTTGTTAAGTACCCTATTATAGTAAATTATTCATTCATTAATTAATTTCTATGTCATCAATTTCACCCTACCATGTACCTCATTTCACTCATTATCTAACGGTTAACGATGTTGCACGTGTCAGTACGGTGTGTCAATATAATACGTTGGAGTTTAGCTTGATTGGCTGCCGAAACATACTGATTTTTATTAACAGAAGTTTTCTTTATATCTGTTGCGCTGTTCGACAAACTGGTGGTAAGATAAGAATAATTATGATGATGTCGCGTCAGAATGTTTATATAAGACAGTGACTGCAACATAATAAAATTATTCCGCAGATAACTTTTATCTAACCATTGAAAAATCTGAAGTGAATAAATAAAACGACGCGACCCGACACTACACACTAAAAAATGATTGTTACAGGCAGCGCAACAGCCAGAGAAGACCTCGCCACCCGGCACAGTAGCCCCCCCAGCCCCAATAACCCCGGCGGCCCCGGCACCTCCACAAAACCGCCCCCCGGAACCGGCGAGACAGAACAGCGAACCATCCCGGCGCACCTCAGAGAATCGAAAGAAAGTCAACTGCCTTTACATCCCGGGGATCGACGCCTATCCTAAGTTGCAGCCTAGTTTACCCCGGTGTTGGTCGTTGCCGGCGATAGGTAAGATATTTTCGTTGTATTCCATAATATTAACTAGCTTGCGCCCGTGGCTTTAACCGCGTGGTATGTTAATAAAAAGCCCGGACTAAGCGTTTTGCCTCAATATTTATACCGCGTACATCGAGGGATTGGAACAGTTTGCCGGCTGCAGTCTTTCAGTCCCAATATAATTAAGGTTTCTTCAAGGCTAGAGTGAATAGGCTCTTAATATATCACCCCGCTATGGACATAATACATGTGTAGACCGAGAGCTTCGTTGATGTGGTTTCAAGTGACTGACACAGCCAATTTTTGTAGAGAATGTTCGTCCGCATTCACTGCAAGTCAGCAGTCGACGTAGCGGTAGTTTCTTAGGTCAAAAATAAATTGCTTCGACGTTTCAATACAATAAAACATTGAAAAATAACTATACTTTTGTTCATCGATCGATCGATGCACTAAATTTAGGAATTTTTGTAGCTAATTATTAAGAAATAAGTAAGCTATTTGTCGCAAAAATACTATGACGTCATAACTCAGTGTTTCATACAAATTTCATAGAAAAGTATAGTTTTTGACATTTGGATTAAAAGTATTGAATTTGACTAGTTGGAAACTACCGTATTTTAATGTGTGATATATAAAACATCCAATTGTAAATGCCATCATGATCCCTCCCCAGGTTGTCGCGTCCGGTCGCTGCGCGCCCCGCTGCTGCAGCAGGCGTCGTTCGACGGCAGCGCGGGGTCGGTGCGGTACCGCCTCGACGTCATGCGCGGGGTCGCCGCGCGCTCCCTCGACCCCGTCGACCCCGCGCCGCCGCAGAGGGCGCTCAGTGCTCCAGTCAGTTCATATTCTTTATTATATAACGTTTATTTATTTAGTAGAACATAAGCTAACAGTTTACAACCAAATCGCTTATATCTATATTATAGGTACTTACACTACTATTACATACTACATTTACATTACAATTATTACAATATACAAGTCAATATTAAAAGTATTACAGAATTATTAGATAAAAGTTATTACATTATATTCAATATAGTTAATTAGTTATTACAAATAACAAATCGGAATTAAAATGTTTATTAAAAGTAGTTATTATTAATTATTATTTCCGATTTAAATATAATCGAACATTATTATCTATAACACTTCGCGAATCGTAAAATATATCTGCACCTGGATTCGTCTGAATAAAACAGTTGATGAGCTTGATAGCTTTGCCAGTGGGAGTGTTTATATTACGATAAAATAGAGTGGATACGGTAGAATGAACATATAATTGAATTGGCATTAACGCCAAAAGTACCTTGGTAAGCTTGACGTTTCGACCTGGTTGCATAGGTCGAAACGTCAAGCCTACTTAGGTATTTAAAGTTGCACAAATTTGCAATTATATGTAAATTTAAAACTTAAACCCCGTTTCCAAAAGGCCGATCAATGTTAAAATCAATTTAATCTCTTTCTCTTGTCAAGTCGTCTGATTGGTTGACTGAATTATCAACAACCAATCAGATGACTTGACAAGAGATTTGACGCCTAGTTAGTTGATTTTAACATTGATCGGGCTTTCGGAAACCGGGCATTAGTATCATTAATAATATCATAGTAAACATGATATCACCTGGCAAAAACCGACCGTTTTAAGGACGATACTAAAAAGTCTCCTGTATGTCACCATCCGCAGAGCCTATCCAGCTCCTCAAGCAGTGCCGTACCTCCAAAACCAGCCCCGGAAGCCGAGGGTCCGACAGTGTCCAGCCGCCTCGAGATCCGGGTCCGACCGCCCGACTCCACGTCCCCTGGACACTCCGGTACGTGCGGTAAATATTACACATTTTTATAGATCATCATCATCGTCGTCATCATCATCATAGTCATCATCATGACTGCACTGTTGGTGCGGTAGCTAAGCAACTGACTGTCGTGTAACGTGTCGCGGTTTCGATTCCCGCACGGAACAACTCTTTCTGTGTTGTTTGTCACAAATTGTTGTTCCGGGTCTGGATGTGATGTGTATGTGAAATTGTATGTTTATAAACGCACCCACGACACACGGAGAAAATCCTAGTGTGGGGTAACGTTTTTAAAACAAAAATAACAATTCATCATCATCATCATCATCAGCCTGTTGTCGTCCACTGCTGGACATAGGCCTCCCCAATTGCACGCCACTGAGCTCGATGTTCAGCTCTTCTCATCCAACCACTGCCAGCCACCCTGCGGATGTCGTCAGTCCACCTAGCTGGAGGGCGCCCTACACTACGTTTGCCTAGACGTGGTCTCCACTCTAGAACACGTTTACTCCATCGGTCATCGGTTCTTCGACAAATGTGACCTGCCCACTGCCACTTCAGTTTGCTAATCCTTTGGGCTATGTCGATAACCTTAGTTCTCTGTCGGATCACCTCGTTTCGAATACGATCTTTCAGAGAGACTCCAAGCATAGCCCTTTCCATAGCTCGCTGAGCGACTTTAAATTGGTGGATCAGTCGCACTGTAAGTGTCCACGTCTCGGAAATTATTATTATTATTTATAATTAAATAATTAAATTATTTAATATTAAAAAAAAATAACAATTATCATTACATTATTATAATTGACATGATCATTGATCATCGGATGTGGCGATTAATACTCGAACCTTAGTGTTTTAATGAGATAGGAGGCATTTAGCTGACGGATTACCTGATGGTAAACAATTAGCGTCGCCCATTGACACTCGGAACTCCAGAGGTGTCAAACTCACTCTCACGGTGACTCTCCCATCAGAAAATCCGTGTGAGAAGAGGCCTTTGCTCAATTTAAGTAATTATTCCTTAAGAACTAGCTATTTAGATAAACTTTGAAAACATTAATTATAACCTACTCAGCTAATTTCTTCTACATGGGATACTTATAATATTAAAGCCTTTTTTATCAGTTGTGGCCACTTATTAATAAGTTGTTTACGAAATATTAAAAAATATTAATATACATATATGACTGCACGGTTGGTGCGTTGGCTGGGCAACTGGCTGCCGTGCAACGTGTCGCGGGTTCGATTCCCGCACGGAATCACTCTCGTGTGATCTACAAATTGTTGTTCCGGGTCTGGGTGCGATGTGTATGTGAAATTGTATGTTTGTTAACGCACACACGACACGCGGAGAAAAGTACAGGGCAATGTTTTTCAAAAATAAATATAATGTTAAAGTTAGACAATAATTGTAATTCTTTTATTAGACTTATTTAAATATATGTAGTTATAAAAGACGCAGTAATAATATGGATTGTTGCAGTGAAGATTCAGTCGGTAGTGAGCGGGGAGACGCGGCCCAACCACGACGAGACCTCGGTCTACTACGACGCCACGGAGCACCATCGGGACAAACGGTAATTTTGTATTTTTTACTAGCTACTCTCGCCCGGTTTCACACGCTGCACAGCTCCATTTGATCGTAGCGTGATATTTTATAGCCTATAGCACTAAGGAACATTGTAGCTATCTATCAGTGAAAGAATTTGGCAATCCGACCAGCGGTTCCAAAGATTACCCCCTACATACAAACTTACAAATTTTACTAACTAATTACTAGTAATTCTACTAACTTTATAATATTAGTGTAGATTGACGTCATGGTTTTTAAGAGAAAGTACCAATATGACTTTCCAAGTTATATGTACTTTCTATGATTATTTAGACACCACTGACATCATCATCAGCCTATATGTGGTTACTGCTGAGCAAAGGCCTCTTCTCACACGGAGAAGGTTTGAGCATTAACCACCACGCTTGCTCAAGGCCGGTTAGCGATTTCAAACTTATACAGGTCCAGGTCCGATATTTCCCGCACCGTAAGCATTGCCATTCCAATTGGGTAGTTTCCTATGTCAAAAATAAATTATTTCGACGTTTCAATACAATAAAATATTGAAAAATACCTATACTTTTATTCATCGATCGATCGAAACACTAATTTTTAGTTTTTTTTTTTAGCATGTTAATATGAAATAAGTAAGCTATTTGACGCAAAAATGTTATGACGTCATAACTCAGTTTTTCATACAAATTTCATAGAAAAGTATCGTTTTTGACGTTTGGATAAAAGTATTGAATTTGACTAGTTGGAAACTACCGGATTATATGATGGAGATGGTTGGCAGTCAACAACTGTGCGATTTTCGCGAAACTTTCAGCCAGTATTGAATAGTAGAATATGTTATCTATGATTAAAGGTCATCGACACGGAGCGGGGAGAAGAGTCAGAGTCCAGCTGTGGAGAGGACACGGTTAGACGCTATACCGGACAGGTAGGGAACGATATAATCCTAATATCTTACTTTGAATAGTTACTTTTTTTATGTAATAGGTCGGCAAACGAGCAGACGGATTACCTGGGCCTCGAGTCTGCTATTACAATAGTGTCAGAATAGTAGATCATTGGTTTCAAAATTGTTGATTTTGGCAAGTTTTGGTAATCTACTAACACGATAGCGTCATTATGACTTTCCAATGATCACAATACCTCTTCATTGAAATAATTCTTTAGAACGGTAATGACTAATGAATAGTGGACATAATGCGGTGAATTAATAAAAAACTGTCAGTCAGTTCCTTTATCCAATGATTTACGTTTAGAATATTAATGTGCAGTTATTGTTTATAATTTGTTACAAGACACCTCGTACTATAATTCTAAGTATTACGACATCGCTGAACGCCAATGATCAGCCATTTTGAATTAACAGATTACGAACTTTTAGCAAAATGACAATGGAATCGTGTAGGAATGACAACACGACTCGGGGCCCCAGATGGTAAGCAATCAGCGTCGCCCATGGACACCCGCAACGGAGGAGTTACGAGTGCGTTGCCGACCTTTTAGGGATTACGGATTTGGAGATTTAGGGATAGAGGGGGGATTGGGGGAGGGGAATGATTGGACCTCCGGTAACCTCACCCATACGGCGAAACCAACGCTGTGGATTTTTCACGCCGGTTTTCTGTGAGGCCGTGGTATGATTACGGTCGAGCCGACCCATTCGTGCCGAAGCTTGGCTCTCCCACACTTATGTCTGCTTGACTATAGCTATCTTACTTATTCCATTGTTTTTCAAAAATTGATTATTGAATATCTTTGCTTACAGGAGTATAATAGCAATTAACAAGAAGGAAGTCTCGAGCGCCGCCGGAGATGGATCGCAGAGTTTAAGAGATGTAAGTTATTTAATTATAATCATTATAATCAATGATATTATACATATACAGGGTGTAAAAAGACACTTAACGAAGCCGAAAGCCACGTATTCTACCCATTATTTGGATCATTTTTTTCTTTAAGACAATAGCTGGGACTCCACGTGTTCTCGAGATATTGAAGGTCAAAGATGCATTTTTAAATATTTTTTTGCGCTATCGAATTCTAAGTATTATTACAAAATTTTTCTCCAAACAAACATTACTTGAATTTTCGATTTTTCTAAATAAATTACGCATTTGAAGTTACGAACAGTAATGTACGTAATAAATAAATGCAGACCCGCACAAAAAACATCGTGCATCTCAGTAGGATTTTTATTTTACAGAATTGTTTTGTTGTTGCGAAGTAAAACGTCGACCTACGTACTTATCACAGCGTTTTAATGCTAAGCTGTGAACCTACGCACACAATGACACGAAGCCCGTTTGCTTTACATTGCGCGCAATAAAATTAATATTTTTATTGATACCTAAAAATAAAAGTCGTTTCCCAGTGATAATTTTAGCGAAAAGCTACTTAGTTAGAACTGCAGTATGCGTAGTAAACGGCTTCGTTAAGTGTCTTTTTACACCCTGTATAAGTAAAAAGGTGTAGATAGGTTACAAGCGCTCAGCAAGTGATACATTATAATGTGGCTAACTAGCCACACTTTTTCATATTTGTCTCTTTTACACTCGCGATTACTGAATCATGCCATCCCACTTTAACGTGTATCATAAGATTTATTCATGTGTGCATCAGTGTGCCGTTTTTGAAAACGAATGTTGTTTATGTAACCTTTTTATACCATTTTACTTATAATATATTTTTCTGTCCACTGCTAGACATATTTATCAATGCCCCGGTAGCATTTTTCAATCGCCCCATCAAAAGTAGATTTTTCCGCTGTTATTTCCTTTGCCAAGCTTAGAGGGACGTTTAGAGATCTTAATTTTAGAGTTATTAGAGAGCGCTGACCTGTCTGTCTCATGTGTGAGGTCCTTATTTAGGTTTATTAAATATAGCTACTCTCACGCTGTTTCACACGCTGCTCGGCTTCATTTGACCGTAGCGTGATGTTTTATAGATGATGATAACATTGTAGCTATCTATCAGTGAAAGAATTTTGGCAATCCGACCAGTAGTTCCAAAGATTACCCCCCTACATACAAACTTACGAACTTACAAACTTTACCTCTTTATATCAACCTGTCCCAAAATTTACGCAAGATTTGAATGAAATAGAAAACACAGTTTTTAGTCTTTTGATTGTAATTTTTTTATTGATTCATAAAGTACCTACATAGGATAGGGTTATTTATGGAATAACACATCGGGCAAATGGCCTTCGCGGCTTTGCATACACATACGCACTCGTTTGTCGAAATTTTCCATGACCGTTCTGGATAAATGTGGCTGAATTTCGTTGATGCAACGTTGAATCTCCTCCTTTAATGCACGCGTAGTTGTGGGCTTGTTGATGTAGACCTGTAATTTTAAATATACCCATAAAAAGAAATCTAATGGTGTTTTTTTTTTTATTTATTTTTTTACATTGTTCTTTTGTGTATGTATATTTGGAGGGCCATGCCTAATTACGAATAAATTATTTTTCTTTCTTTCTCTTCTTCTTTCTAAATCACACGATCTAGGGGGCCAATTCTGATCACCGAAACGAGAGAGAACACGACCTGGAAATGTCTCATGCAATAATTGAAGTGTTTCACGGGCTGTATGGCATGTGGCACCGTCTTGTTGAAACCACATATTGGCCACATCAATATCATCCAATTTCGGCAAAAAGAACCGTGTTATCATATCGCGATATCGAGCAGAAGTAACAGTCACTGCTTGACCAGCCCCATTTTCAAAAAAGTATTCATTATTTTTGAAATATTGCTAAACAATGAAGACACGTTGTTCTATTGCGTAACGCTCCATTTTTACTAACCTTAAGCTGTCAACTGTCGATTTATTTTGTTTTTAAGGTTGGCAACACTGTACTGCATAAATGGTGGCAAATTCAAATCCTGCGTTAATTTTGGGACACCCTATATAGTTCGGCCGTTCAGAGAATGCGTTCCTGACACCTATCAGTTAGTCACGACTATAGTCAGAATTTTAATTCGATTCCTGATTTGACATGACCTACTGTCATTTTGTGAAATAATGATACCACATAAAACAGTGTAGTGATGAACACAAAAATCGATAAACAATCAGTGAATCAGTTTCAGGAAGGCATTTAAAAAAATACGGCTACCGAATGGTCTAAATGCGTATCCCATTTTGTCAAAGAAGACGAAAAAATGAGTAAGCTAGATATGTTAATTGACAATAAATATCACAGACACAAATCATAATAAATGTTACAGAAAGTAACAGCGATAGCGATAGTGATGACGGCGGCAATTTATAAAATTTCTGTTTTATTTGTCATGTTCCTTCATGATCACATTTTTTATTAATTTCACACACAATTACAAAAGAAAAGTTTCAGATCGTTAATTAATTGTCAAAACTAAATTATCGGTTCAGAAATATTTTATTTCCTGATAAACTTAGTTTACGAGAGTAAATTTATAAACGAGAGGAATCGATTCACAAATATTCGATTTCCATATCGAATAATTTTGCAACGTCACTATTTAGTTCGTGTCATAACGTTGCAACACTGAAATTGTCAAATCTCGAATGGAATTAAAATTCCGAGTATAGTGATGGGCACAACATAATACTGAGTTCGTTACCGTTCCACCAAATTGAAGCCGCGTCATTTTTAAGATTATTTTCGTTTTAAATTGACGGAATCATTTAAAATTTATAAGTAGAAACCAAAAAAGGTAATATTAATATAATCAAATTGTTTTATTTATTCTTTGTTACAAAGTTACAATCTGTATTTCTATGCAATAAAGTATCTATATTGAATTGAACGTGAGTACAGAATATTAATCAGACTCCAATTCGCTTGAGGAGGGTGTGTCTTCAGCATCATCTTCGCCTACATGTTTAATTATATTATTATCAAAATGTTCCACAATCAGGTTTTTAGTCTTCTCAACAACCTTTGCCCATTCATCTCTAGTGACTTCCCCTCAGGCTTCTTTTAATAGGTTCATCATCTTTTTCGTGCTGAATGGCGGGGAAGTATTTTGTCGGGCGGCGTAACCTTTTATTTGAGCCCAAATTAGCTCAATCGCGTTATATTGGCATTGTTACGGTGGAATTCTTAGAACACGATGACCGTACTCCAGAGCCAGTTCATCGATTTCGTATCGCACATTTGCCCCCTTATTTTCTTTAACTAATTTAATTAACTCTGCTTTTAGCATCTGCATATTTGTGTCAATGCCTTTTGCTTGTAACCAAGCCACCATTTCTTCTTTTTTATTAGCTTGGGTAGGTGGTTTCTGTATTTGAAACGAGTGATAGGAGGCATTATCCATGAATATTACAGAAGACTCTGGTAGATTGGACAAAAGCACGTTCTGGAACCACTCTTTAAATGTAGAGGCATTCATTTCCTCGTGGTAGTCATTTGTGGTTTTTGATTGAAATGCCAGTAACGCGTTCTCCACAAAGCCGTATTTTGCAGGACCTGCGTGGCATATTATCAGACGGGCCCCCTTACCCATTGGTACTTTCGCCGTCGACGCTTGTGTACTATCCGTCCAAGAACGGGAAACCGTGTGATTGGCGTTTAGCCATGTCTCGTCAATGAACACAACATTTTCGCAGTTATAAAGATTTTTTGCTTCTCTCAAAAAATTTATCCGTTTTAAAATTATGTCGTTCTAATAAAATTTTTCTTTTGTCTTTTTTTTTATACGAAAAACCATTATGTTTTAGGATTTTGGTTAAAGCAGTTTTACCCCCTCTAAACAGTCCAGCTTCTCTTAACGATGCCAAAAGCTTCTTCCTGTTGAGATATTCATTTCTGGAATAGTAACCATATATACAGGGTGTAAAAAGACACTTAACGAAACCGTTAACTACGGATACTGCAGTTCTAACTAAGTAGCTTTACGCTAAAATTATCACTGGGAAACGACTTTTATTTTTAGGTATAAAAAAAAAATATTGCGCGCAATGTAAAGCAAACGGGCTTCGTGTCATTGTGTTCACAGCTTAGCATGAAAACGCTATGATAAGTACTAAGGTCGACGTTTTACTTCGCAACAACAAAACAATTCTGTAAAATAAAAATCCTACTGAGATGCACGATGTTTTTTGTGCGGGTCTGCATTTATTTATTAAGTACATTACTGTTCGTAACTTCAAATGCATAATTTATTTAGAAAAATTCAAGTAATGTTTGTTTGGAAAAAAGTTTTGTAATAATACTTAGAATTCGATTGCGCAAAAAAATAATAATTTAAAAATGCATCTTTGACCTTCAATATCTCGAGAACCCGAGGAGTCCCAGCTATGGTCTTAAAGAAAAAAATATCCAAATAATGGGTAGAATACGTGGCTTTCGGCTTCGTTAAGTGTCTTTTTACACCCTGTATATGATTTCTGATTGCATCGGCGTCAAAGGTGTTAATATCTGTCACGGGTTTAGTTCTAAGTTTCTTCTTCGGAGTACGTAAAATATTATCTTCCGTGCCAGTAGAGCCGAACTTTTCTTTATTAATATTTGCTATCGTTCGTTTGCTAAGTCCAAGCGCCTGAGAGACGCGTTCTTGTACTTGTTGGACAGGTAACTGGGGTCCGCAATTTTGCCGCGCCCGCTCAAAGTAATCTTGCAGCTTGATGATTAACTCACGGGCTTCACTTTTCAATGTTTGTCCACGTTTAGGCATTAATGGGCACCAAAAGTAAAAATAACGCAATACAAACACAATCATCACACATCGTTCTGTTTTTCAAACTGAAACAGTCCATTAAACGAAAGCCAGGTAATCAAATAAAAACAGATCGAAAACACTTGAAGAACGTGGTCTATGCGCACGAAATGACAACAGACGACTGTTTTAGCGTCACAAAATGGCGGCCCAAAATGCCATTTGAGGTTACCATTTTCAACCTAAATATAAAAATGCTACTTTCTTTCGCGCGTTTGGTTTGGTGGTAGTTGTCTATTTTCAAATTCTTAAAATGATAAACAATACGTATTATTTTATTAAGGATAACTGTATAAGAACAGATTACGATACTGTTATTGTTAGCACAGCCCTACAAATATAAAGCGCTGACATAACCTTGTAATAGCGCAGTATAGATTTAGAAAAATATTGTTTACCAAGTTATTTGACACTCAGTTTGGCACAAAATTATAAAATTTATTGTATTGATATAATAATGTTGTTGTAATGCTCATCAATTGTTAAAATGGTAAACAATGCGCAAAAATATTTTTATCGTAACTGCAACGCCATTACAAAGTTACGTCGTCAGTTCAATCGCGACGTGTCAGGAATGCATTCTCTGAACGGCCGAACGAACACATCAGTCGTAATCTATACTATAATAGATTACGACTGATGTGTATTTATTTAGAAAATCTCTAACGTTCTATAGAGTTCGGTTATCAGAGAAATAGACGGTTAAACGATAATACCCGACAGTAATACTAAGAAACTTAAAATTAAAGCAAGCTGTTTCCGTTTTTATCGATTACATTTATAACCTTAGTTAGGTATTTCAACAAAGGTTTTTCCAAAGTATTAGAAACTGGCTCTCGTGTCTCCAATATACAAAGCCGATTAATGTAGCACCGTGGCCTCGATTAAAACAGGCGAAGGAACTGGGAGGTTTTTAGTTAGTAAGACTCTAACACTCCCTCTCGCCTTACCCTGGGCGGGTAGAGAAGATATTTGATGATTTTCCCCTGACAAAAAAAAACCCAAGTTTTTCCGAGCAATCACTGACGAACATCTTTGCTTTGTATTTTACTAAAAGTTTTAGTGAGAGTAATGAACAATAGAATCGGATTTCTCTTTCCCCGAAAAGGGAGTATGGGTTTAGGCGAGAAAAATCTACAACAGACGCAGTTGATTTTCTGAGTCACATCAACTTCTAAACACACAGATACTGGAAAGCGATATTTTGGTGTTTCTGGATCTTGCCATGGCCTTCGATATGATTTCTTGTCGTATTCTGCTAAGAACCATTGAACTGTTTGAAGAGGAACACCACTTAATTGGCTCCGAAGGTATATGAGTAAACAACGACAAATTACAAGAATTGATAACTTGATCTCCGACAAACTGGAAATTAGGCTATGGAGTGCCAAAAGGCATCCTTGGTCTAAAATTTTTCAGTTTATATTAGATATTTTTAACATTAGCATTCCTAATGATGTTGATCTGATTTGCTAAACGAATGGCATTGTTGTATACAGTATGAATCAAAGTCGCTTCTTCTGTTCCTATATCCCTATGTATGCTTAAATCTTTAAAACTACGCAACGGATTTAAATATGCTTTTCTAATAGACAAGGTGACTGAAGAGGAAGGTTTACATGTTCCTTTAAATAGTGGAGAAATTTACTATAGGCATTGCACCCGTGCTAAGCCGGGACTCTCTAGGGACCCTTAGTGATAGCATACAACGTGATATTTACACGACTTCCCAAAAATGGAGTGTTATGTTTTTAGGGTTCATGTGTGTATCTGGTTTCTTTTTTAGAAGTTAATATGTTGGTTTGTTTATTTTGGTTCAGCGGTCGTCAGGCAGCGCGAGTACGTCCCGCATCCCGGTGGCGTGCGGCGCGGAGCAGCGCCTCGCCAAGTGCGCCAGCTGGAGCGGGGACGGGCCGCTGCAGCCCGACGTCGCCGACCTCACGCCCGGTCTGCTCACTGCCTTACTTCATACTCTCTGCTCTACCATTACATCACTTTAATGTAAACTTCTTTAATGACGGCAAACGGATTATCTGATGGTAAGCAATGAAACCCTACGATGAACACCCGCAACAACGCAGAAGTAACTAATGCGTTGCCGACCTCTTGGGGATTTGCAGGTTACACAACAGTTACTCCTTGATTAGTCCCAAACCCTACATGAGTATCGTGCCCATGCCCTCCCTGAACCAAGAGACATAATAAAAATGTCAGCTCTATCACCGCAGCGCTCCGGCGGCGCCGGCAGAATGCAAACGATAAATACGCCGTAGACCCGGCCCGGGAACTGAACCTACGGTTCGCGAGGCCCAGGCACCGACAGCCGCCGCACCATCATTCTAGGTATGAAGGTTTTTATGTTTATACAGGATGTTAGTATATCGTTTATAGAGGGTGTTGTTTTTGATTTGAATGTCGCTGGATTCGATTCCCGCATGATGTTTAAAGCTGAGAATATTCTATAATTATGACTGTAAAGTTATCTCAGTGGAAACCACGGGTTTGCTGGTTCGATTCCAGCATGTAATAGACCCTAGAATCTTAACAAACAGTTTTAGAAGATCTACATAGTCGGGTTAGGGTGTAGCTGTGTATGACAAGTACGGGCGTGTCCTGGCACCGGTGCCGCCTGTGTCACGCTGTCCGAACAAAATGCTAACAGAGCGGCTCCCGGCAGTCGCAGCGCTTCCCGCGGGGTGCCGGCGCTACTGCTGTCGTCGCCGCCCGCGTCGGGAGGCTCGTCATCATCAGGGTCCCCGCCCCCGCCGCCCCCCGGGCCCCCCGGCGCTCCGCCCCCACATAACGCAGCCCGCGCGCGACGCTTCCGACCGCTATCCATCGCGCCTTAATTCATATCATAACAGCTAAACTCTTTGATTTCTACACTGCACTTGTACAGGCGTACTGCAAGCGTGCCATGGCCGTATTGTTGACTTTATTATACGCTGAAAGGCTAAAATTAGATAAAGTTTGGGCGTTTGCGCTAGTCGTACGCATATACGCCTGCAATACGCCGGCGTATCACACGTTTACATGAATGTAAAAGCTATATTTTATAACTGAAGTGTTTAGAAAGGTGATTTTGTTAATGAAAAGGTATAATTTTGAGAGTGAAATAATATAAATAATTATTTCCACTAGCTTCCGCCCGCGGCTTCGTCCGCGTGGTATGTTGATAAAAAGTAGTCTATGTATATTCCGGAGTGTATCCTATGAATGTGCAAAATTTCAGCCTGATCCGTCCAGCCGTTTTGACGTTATTGAGTAACAAACATCCAAACATCGTAACTTTCGCATTTATAATATAAGTATAGATAAAATCCTTTGGTCCACGGTGCCCTGTGCGTGACATATTTCCCGGTGAATTTTATTTACAAATCAATTTCTCCTAATATGTATTATAAACGCGAAAGTGTGTAAGTACGGATGTATGTTTGTTACTCTCTCACGTAAACACTACTGAACGGATCTGAATGTAATTTGGCACAGAGATAGATTATAGTCTGGAATAACACAGCTAGAAAAGAGATTGACATATTTCAATTGTTTTTTTATTATTATTATTAACATATCTTTTATTAATAAATTTGAAGTATTCTTGAATATTTGACTCTCAAAATATACCTTTTTATAACTAAACCTTTTAAATAAATATATGCTTTGTTTTTGCCAAACCTGGATGTAGTTTATTCTTAATGAGAAACAGTGAAGGAAAATATCTTATTGTAAGTTTGAAATCGATAACCGGCTTTGAGCAAGTGTGGTGGTTAATGCTCAAACCTTCTCCGTGTGAGAAGAGGCCTTTGCTCAGCAGTGGCCACTTATAGGCTGATGATGATGATGAAAGAACTATATCCAGGTTGAAACAAATTCGTAATTACCCTTCTTTGTACGGCGCAGTCTGTTAAAAGTTGTGTCACAGAAAACTAGTCGCTATAACAAACGGTGCATGTGTAGAAAAATGATCGTTATTACTCTTAAGATCGTGTAGCCTATAAAGGCGATTATTGCATTTCTCCAATCACGCCTTAATATCGAGTCCTGTACTTTAATTTTTTATATAATTAATGAGAAGAAAATCGTGTTTCTTTTGTACATATTGGATTGAGCATAGTTTTACGTGGATTGACGGTGCGTCTTGTAGTTGTATGCGTTTATTTTCTGTGCTAGTTTTGTTTGGGAGTTTTGGTATCTTTTTATGCAGATTCTTTGGGTCAAAGTCATTTTTCAATCAGACCTTTAGTTCTTAATTTTTGGACGACAAACTAAGATTTTGTCAAAACGTGTCAGTCGGTCGGTCAGGTCCTCTAGTGAAGCTATTTGCTCGTTCCAAAGTGTAGATTCCTATGGAGAAGAACGAGCAAGAAACTCCATGGTTACTCTTCTTCAATCAGTTCATTTTAAAAATTTCTTTTTTTTTTCTTGTGTTTGAGGAGTTCCTCTGGCAGCCCTCCCCTACCCTCCCCTAGCACTACTACATGTCACTCACTCAGTGTCCGATAGCGAAACAATTTTACTTGACTGCCACAAGGTTCCCTGTATATGAAGGTACCAAAATTTCTTCACAACGAAGCATTGACAACCAAAATGTCGATGAACCTAAATGTATCTTTAATCCCATACGAATTGAGTTCAGTTTGTATTGGCAGTCATTTGCCGAAATGCCAGGCGATATTGAACCTTATTATAAAGAGTTGAGATAGATTTAGTTTTGCCGTCGTTTTGGAGAATATTGTAAATTATTTTCTTTTGTACATGTATCTACTTTATTGGTGAATTGTATTGTTTATATATTTGCTTTTAAATTTCACAAGAATTTGTGGATTCATAATATTTATCTGGTAAATATCAAGTATTGATCTCCTCACTGAAAACCAGCGTGAAACAACCACAGATCCAAGCCTTGCCCTCCCCAAATCCCAAAATCCCCTAATCCCTAATCTCCAAATCACTAATTGCTAAATCCCGAATCTGCAAAACCCTAATCTCCAAAATCGCGGCAATGCTCTCGTAACTCCTCCGTTGTTGCGGTTGTCCATGAGCGGCGCTGATTGCTTACCATCAGGTAATCCGTCTGCTCGTTTCCCGACCTATCCTAAGAAAAGAAAAGATGGGTTTTTTCTAGAATGTTATTAAGTAAAAAGACACTGAACAACATACATTACCTTAGAACTGATTTTTCAATAGTCAGATAAATGTTATCTGAGGAATAAAACTGTTGCTGTCACTGTCTTATACAAACATTCTGACGCGACAGCATCATAATTATTCCCCAGGTAACTTTAATCTAACCATTGAAAAATCAACCCTCACTCAATAAAGTAGGTACATGATACATAAAGCTTGCTATATAGGCTTATTATTTATTATACCATTACGCTGACGCTCTAAGCGACGTACAATGTTTGAAACGCTTCGGGTTTTAGAAGAGTATAACCGGGTATACTCGTGTTTGTATTGCCCTCTCTTTCCATCGTTTGATGACGTAATACTTTTATGATTTCACTGTCTCGTTCGCCGCGTAGTGTGTGTGGTTGAAGGAGTATGTTGGGTTCGAAACCGACTGTTTTTTATTATTATTATTCAATGCGTTCATGACTTATCTGGTGGAAAGTACTCCAAGGACACTCCTGCCTACCCCCTCCGGGGAAGTTCGTGCGTGATGTTATCTCAAATTGGTGCTTTATAATTTTTAAGTTAAATATTTATTTTTATTATAAAAATGCGACTTTAAAAGCTCTCTAGTTTTGTTATTTAATTTTTAATTATTTTGTAAGAGATACTTATAAAAATGTGGAGAGAGTGAGACAGCGCTATACAGAGTCGAGAGTTTGTCTTTTTCTAATACCCGAAGTTAGTTGTTTTTATTTTACGAACGTATTAAGATAGATGTTTAAAGGCATATAGAAGTTTATATACAAGTGATATTGTTGTACCTACATAGGCGCTATATATTTACTGACGCTTGGAAAAGACAAAAAATATATAAATTTATTAGCTTTCGCCCGCAACTCCGTTCGAGTGGAATTGTGACTTTCCTTTACACTTTCATATAAGTTGTCAATAAACTTGTGTGGCACATAGTGTCGATTCAGACATAATTCAACAGATCTATTATCTAATAACATATCAATTGTAATAAATAAATGATACTATACTTAGTCGGGTCATAAGTTCTGTCACAAACTTTTGATGTAATAACTTATACGCCTTTTGACAATTATTTAAAAATTATATATGAAATGAAAGGTCATTAAATGTACAATATAATTTTATTTACATTATTCGAAATGCCCTCCCCCATTTTGAACACATGCCCTTAATCTACGCGGCCAGTCATCGATCGCTGCACGCACCACATTCATATCTATGTCTGCCGCTGCTTTAACCAGAGATGCTCGGAGAGACTCCAAATTCGGGTGAGGTTTAGCACAGACTTTTTCCTCCAAATATTGCCATATCTTGTAGTCCAGTGGGTTTAAATCTGGACTAGAAGAGGGCCAGTCTTCATGCCGGATGAAGTCAATTCCACGAGCGATCAACCAGTCTTGCGTACTTCGTGCCTTATGAGCCGGTGCAGAGTCCTGTTGGAATATCCAATGCCTGTTCCTGAACATTGTCTGAGAAAGAGGTTCCACTATGTTTGTTAGGACAGTATTTTGATAAACTTCGGCACTAGTTCTCACACCTTTTTCACAGAAAAACACCTCAGTTACGCCTGAATATGAGACTCCAAGCCAAACCATGAATGAGGAAGGGTAATGCCCACGCTGGACCCTCGCAATACGCGCGCTTGCTTCTTCACTGCTGTGGGCATACACCTTATCATTTTGTTTGTTAAAACTTTCTTCAATAGTAAAAATTTTTTCATCCGAAAAAAGAATTTCGCGGTATTTTTTTCCCGCGTACCGTCGTAGCAAAGCGCGGGATCTGTCTAGCCTAATTTTTTTTAAACGCTCGTTCAAAAAATGTCCTGTCTTTTTACGATAAGCTCGTAGTCCCAGGTCTTCATTTAGTACTCTTTTAACAGTGGTTCTGCTTAGCCCCATCTGCAGAGCTAGGATTTTTTGTTTACGTACGGGATTTCGTTCGATTCGCGCCTTCACTGCTTTGATGACCTTATGTGTCCGAACTGTGCGAGGTCGGCCGCTTCTCTTACGATCTTCGAAGCTTGACTCTTCGGTGTATCGTTTGATAGTACGATAAACAAACCGTAACGTTATTTTCAAATTTTGAAGAATATTGAAAATGTCTTTTGGCGCGTAACCACAGCGGTGCAACGCGATAACCGCGATTCTGTCTTCTTTATTCGACCACTCCATATTTAAAAATGAATAAAAAATAATTTCTTTTTTATTTTCTACAAGCGCGAAAGTTCTATTTTTAAAATAAGTCGAAGAATTTCTGGCCAGTAATCGAAAATTAAAAATATAAGGTTTTGACAGAACTTATGACCCGACTAAGTATGTAATTACAATCGTCAAACTTTACAACCACAATATTTTTTATTTAATCTATTGTGAGATACATGTTCTTTTCGAGGAGTTCTCGACCATTTTCGAGCCGCAACAGGAACTCATAATTACGTATTACATATGTTTTGCCTTTTCCAAGCGTTGGTTTATCATAGTGATCTATATTGTAGTATCTCATTTGACTGTTTAAGAACGCGTGATTCTAATTAAAAAGGTTTCAGCCTGAAATTGCTGAAGATTGTATATTTACAGCCCAAACTCATTGACAGACCACAGTCAACTAGTCTTACGACCAGTCGCGCAACCATGTTGGCGAAAATATCTTCTGATTTATTTCGTTGCGGGATCAAAGACAGTCCATGGTTACTCTTTTCTAATCAGTTCGAACAGTTCACCAAACTGTCACCTCCCTAAAAAAGATCGGTTACACACGTGTGTCGCCTCT